GATTGGCTATCATTTGCATATAAGGTACCAGCCAATTATTGCCATGTTCCTAACATTGTCAGCCAAACCAATATCATGACGTCATTAATCTTGCGGCCGGTATACGTGCTAAAACATTCTTAGGTATGACATCAACTAATTGGACGCGCTAGAAAAGTGCTCAGTTTGCACAAAGCGCCAGAAAAGTGCTCAATTTGCACAATGCACCAGAACTTTTTGTTTGCGTCTGTTATTAAAAACTAGTTATTTATTTGGTGTCGTATCGGCTTAAAAATTTAAATAAAAAGTGAAAAAGTCGCACAAGGTAAGTCCTAAGGTACATTTTTTGTTGTAGTGTTGTTATGTTTATTTCCTGGAATTATTAGTTGTTTAATTCATTCACAGGTGCCTTATATTGCCATCTATAGGTAGACCAAATATTTCCATGGTTGTTTTTACAGATGCCAAAGAAAGAGAGGGCAGAGTGGTCGAAAGAAGACCTTAAAGAAGCATTGATAGCCATAAAGAACGGATTAAGCATTAGTAAAGCATCGCAATTCCTAGAACAACTTTGGGGCTGCATCATCAGAAAAATGATGCAAGTAAACGTCTTGGCAAATGTAGTATTTTATCGGAAGAGCAAGAAAATTATTTAATAAATAGGATCCATCGGCTGGCAGATGTTGGGATGCCATTCACGCCTAACATAGTGAAACGAAGTGTATACTCTTACGCCACGACACGTAACATTCCTAATCCATTTTCCGAGGCATCAAAATTGGCAGGCAGAAAGTGGCTGAAGTTATTTTTCAAGAGACATCCTGATGTTGTGAGACATAAGGCGCAGCAAATGAACTCTGCTAGGGCTCATAAAATGAATCCATTTATTGTTAATGATTATTTTAATAAATTAAAAGAAGTCTACACTAAATTGGAGTTATTCGACAAACCCGCCAATGCATATAACATGGACGAGAAAGGATGTCGCCTCACGATTTATAAACAACAGATTGTATTGGCTAAAAATGGTGTAAAGCGTGTCCACTTAGTGGCCCCTGAACATGGTGAAAATTTAACCATAGTTGCATGTGGAAATGCATTAGGACAGGAAATTCCACTAGTGATCCTTTTTAAAGGAAAACGTTGCAAGTCCGAATGGGTAGATCATTTACCCCCCAGATCCAAGATCAACATGACAATTAAAGGAAGCATGACCAGAGAAGCTTTTATTTCCTGGCTTAACCATTTCGCCATGTTTTAGAACCCATGATCAACACTTATCACTTTTGATGGGGCCAAGTCACACCTCAACGCATCTATTGTTGATGCTGCTGAAAATCACGGAATCACTTTATTTTGCTTACCTAGTAAAACCGCACACGAGTTGCAACCCATGGACAATTTAGTTTTTCGTAGCTATGAAACATTTTGGGATCAGGAAGTATTGAACTTTTTAACAACACTACCTGGAAAAGCTTTAACCAAAATAAGGTTTGAATAAATATTTTCAAAAGTGTGGTTAAAAGCAATGACACCGTCCAATATATTCTCTGGATTTAGAAGTACAGGCATCTATCCTTTGGCTCCCGATACAATCTCAGAATCTGCGTTTGCACCCATCGTCGTAACAAGAATAGATGAAAATAAAAATAAATCTAACATTACTGAGCCCTATTCCCGGGCCAAGTGGAGTAAATTCATCAAAAACCAAAAATAACAAACATACTGCTACCTCCAAAGTGATTCATTGGATTCAGAAGCTTCCCTCGATAATGACTTCTTCACAGAAAGTGACAACGAACTACTAATTAAGTTAATGTCTGCTTCTTCAGGGGATGTTACGGAGAAAGAAGTACCTGGTGATGATTTGGATAAGTCGTTTAGTGGCATGGGTTTTCTGGTTACTCCTGAGATAAAAGATACATCGTCACTAAAAAAGCCTGCTATTAATTCAAATGCTCAAGAAATAATGAGAGATTTCTTTAGTTTTCAGCCAAAATCTGCTCCAAAAAAAGTCACGCAAAAAAACTTGGCTCAAAGAAAGTGGTATACACAAAATCTGCTTCAAAAAATGTTTTGCTTGTGGTTGACTCTTGATTCTGTTTCCTATGCGAAATAGAAAGGCAAATCGATATGAGGTTGTGCTCGGTATGTAAAAGATACGTTCACAAAGAAAGTGTCGGTCTATCTAAGGCCGATAAAGAAATGTTTATTTGTCCAGATTGTTAGACTTAGTTTTTTCATTAACAAGAATGTTCCTTTTTATTTAGTTTTTCATAAGAATGTTCCTTTTTATTTTGTGCCTGGGTAGCATTTACGATATGATTAAGTATAAATGTAAAAAAGTTTTGTTCGTTATTTTACTTATTTCAGTGTGTCAGTGCCATTACATGGCAATATTTGGGTTGACTGTCTCAAATTTTGTCATTTTGCAATATTTAAAAAAAAATAAAATAAAAAAAATTTAAATCCTTAGGGTGGCAATAATTGGTTTAGTTACCTTAGTACATTGCTTGCTATAACCGATTTCAAGCTTATGTATCCTATTATTATCATATCTATGTTTTCTTCTTACTTTTTATCGTTTTAACTATTTCGTCCATTGTGAATATTAATAGTAGTGAAATTATAATATCTCCTTGTTTATTATTCTTAAAAACTTCTCCGAACTGCATCCTTCCATCTGGACTCTTACTTTAACAGTCTCATTATGTGTTGTTAATTATATGGATTAGTTCTTTCAACACATTCAAGTCTTCCAAAGCCTTCCATATTTTTCTCCTTCTACTATGTCGAAAGCTGCTCTCAGGTCAATGAAAGCTCCTATACATATTTCTTCTCCTTCTTCTATCGTCTTTTCATTATTCTCAAAAAACATTTATTCGATATTCTAATAACATTTATAAACGGGTACTTTGTTTTACCAACATGATAAGTTATTTAATTTTCTATTATGCATCAATCGTCGGAAACGCCGCTTATTTCGTAATTAATTTTTAGTAGCACTGACCTCGCAATTATTTTCCGTCTTCAATAAATTCACTGCTATTTGTGACATGAAAATATACCACATGTATTTATTCTCAGCACTTTGATTATTTTTAACATTGACTTAGATGTAATTGGTATCATTATGTCTACGCACAAGTGATTTTTTTACGTTTTCATTTGAAAATATACACAATACTTACAATAATGAACTGCCACTGCGTTTTCATTGAAACAATAACTATAATTATTCTATTGAAAAAATTGTTATTTATTAATAGTTTAAGGTCGCGTATCATCTAAAATTTTTATAGATCAGTTAAACCTTAATATTTAGAAATCAGGTAGATAGAGTTCAAAGAACACATAAAAAGATAGGTCATAAATTATACCTATATTCTGGAGTTAAAAATAGGTCGATTGATAATCGATCTTTTCCAATAAATCAGAAACTATTAAATAATATATCACGAAATTGGACATAGGGTTTTCTTAAAGTAAGAATAACTTTGCAAGGGATAAATATGCTCTGAGATCAAAAATATTTTGTATCTACAAAGCGAAATCCGTGAATCTCTAGCAATAAAATAAACTTGCTTTGCAATATGATTCGACAATTTACGTTACAAGACCGGAAAGTAGTGTTTTGCAGAAACTTAACCACTCGCCAACTCTTTCTCTGAAACCATACTTACCAAGTTAAACATTAATTATAGCATGATCTACTAGATCAAAGGCTTTGTTTAAGTCCATAAAAATACCTACACTTCTTTTGTTTTTATTTAAATTATCATAGAGGTAATTAAGGAAGCTGATAACGGCAGTTTGAGTAGATCGGCCTTCTCTGAACTCATGCTGACTGTACATTATATTTTACGGCGAAGTCTACCATTTTCCTAAACATAATTTTTTCTAATATTTTGAAATACGTAATACTGGTACTCCTGTTTAAACACGATAATTTCACCTGTTTTCGAGAAAAACGTAATTGAACAGTTCAGTGTCTCAGAAGGGGATTCCAAATAACACAATAAGAAAACTTGTAACGTAAGGCTTCTATTTCAACGGTAAAGCAAATTTAAAAACAATTCTTTTAATAAAGGACTTTCGGATGGCAAAGAAAATATTATTCTGTCCCCTTATAAAATTACCCGCATTTTGTATGTTCCTCCAGAGTTCGTCTATACTATAAAGTTGTTAATTAAATGCTAATTTTCAGTTTCATAATGATACTCATTATACCACTTGTTTTCATTATGAAACTGAAAATCAAATTCTTCATTCAATTGATAATACAAATAATGAAATTCATATTAATTTGTCCACTTCATCTACGAGTACAAATATTACACATGAATTCGTTTATTATATTGGTTATTGTGTAGGAATAAAAATTAAGTCGAAGAACTTATTTTTATTTCATATTTTATTTCTTATTGTTTGTATAAAAAAGTATTAAAAAATTTTAAAAAATAAAGCAATGTTGTTGAATTGAAATAGTTTCTTGGTCGTAGAAAAAATAGTGTATGCAATAATCATGTATGAATAGCCATTACATGAGAGTTTACATGTTTCAATTTACTTTCTTTACGATAGTAGATTTGGTTTTCCGATAAATTCTATGGTCTCAAACATTGAATAAAAGTAAATTCGTCACAAAGGTTATATAAAAAGTAGATATAATTGCATTTCATTATTTGATATTATACTGTTGTGCAACCCTTTTTTGTTGCCATGGGATACTTTGAGTTTCATAACTTAATCATTATTATTATACAACGAGGCATTTTGGTTTTATTGATGCTTGAAAATATTTTATCAAAGGCTTTTGTATTTTGGTCGAACAAAAGCCATTGAAAATACATTATGGATATTTTACGCACTTATATTTCCGTATAAATAATGAAATGTGGTATGGAATTACTCAAACGCATGATTGATTACTAGTCAAAAAAAAAAGGAAAAACTTGATTAAATAAAAATTAATTTTCTAGGTAAACGATTATAATTAATTTTTCTTTTCTTTTTTTCAGAGCAACTAATTTAAATCATTAAAAATGTATGAACTAAGCAAACGACTGGCATCATTCTATCCGACCTACGTCTTAGGAATTGTATCCATTGGCTACATTTGTGGAGAATTAGGTCACTATCTCATAGGAGTTACTAGCAAGGCAATAGCAGAAGATCTGCATTTTGGGGATATTTCTTGTCAACTCAATTTAACTCATGTGTATCTTAGCGATTTGCCAGTACAGTGCTCAGCAGCCAACAGTTCTGAAACGTGTGCATCTCTAACACTCAATGGAACTAGGTAAGAAACAGTATAGAAAATAAACGAAATATTCCATTTTTAATAGGTACTTCATTAAATGTGTGAAAGAATATTTTCTACCAGTGGCGGCTCTTAATAATTTAAAATGGGTGTTCAATTTTTACCAATAATTTTACCATTTGTAAGTTCGGCTCAAAATTTTGAACAAGCGCCAATATCGCTGTTTTCTTTTATTTCAGTTTGTATTAAGTGTAGTTATTATTTATTTGTTTTGAAAATTATTTAATAGTCATTGTATATCAGTACTTCGGAGGTAAACTATCATTCTAGTAGAGCAGACTGAATGTTGTTTAGACACTTTTTGCGTTCCATATGTACATATATTAATTATATTTCGTACAAGAAATGCAGTTAGCCCCAATTATTGTCACAATTAATTCTTATGTATCCCCAAATTAAGACTCATGAAGCGTCTAAACAATTTACCAAATACAAATTTTTTTAAGCCAAACGGTTGCATATATATTAAATTTTTCAAAATTGCATCTCTCTTTTTAGCTACAGGCCTTTGCGAAAACATCTAGCTTCCTTTCGCGCCCTCGCGCTCACTCAGAATAGTGTAATATAGAGACGCACCTTCCTCGAATAGCTTCGTGCCATATAACACATATATTTTTATCTTTTTTTAATGAAGCAAAGGTTTCATTAAAGACAACGATCCTAAAATAATATTAAGTAGTGTAGGTTTAAATAGGTATCTATAAATTTAAGTAGAAAAATCTTACCTTTTTCGTTGAAATAAATCCAATGTTTTGCGTTTTGAAAATATTTCGATTTTTGTAAGTTTCTTCGTTTCATAGTCATCAAAATCAGAAAATGGGTCACCGTAGGTAATATTGTGTGTAACAGTTTCTAGTAATATATTTTCATTGGTAAAAATTATCAACGGTTTTAAGTGGTTTTTCTCTAACTAATGTGATAATGTCCTACAGTTGCAGATTGTGTTCATTACTCAGGTTTATCAAATCAGCATCACATACATTGTGCAGAAAAAAAAAGTTTTAGGTCTCTCAGCTAGGATTTATTCATCGTTCTTGTTCAAATTACCAGATTCATCAAGGTCATAATTGGCAATACAGTTTTGGAGAATAGCAGTCTACTTTTTAAAATCGATATATACTCTAAAATATTTTTCATTTTTTTCATTTTTTTTTTTTTGATACTCTTCTTTATTTCAATAAAATAAATATATTTGTTTGCAGGATGAGGCTTTATATTATTTCGATTCATTGTTACAAAGTTTAATACAGTTTCCACTGCCCTAACTAAACATGCGCTAGAAAATTTGCACTCTTTTGACTTTGAAAATGTAAGAATTCTCGAAAATGAACCTAATCTCAACAAAAGAACAATCCTTGAGATGATACATATTAAAAAAAATAACAACTGTGTAAATAATAAAACAGACATAAAAGATTTGTCAAACGTTTATTTTAATATTATTAAATAATTGTAAGCTTCTACTTCTTAAATGTAACGCCGTCGGTAATTTTTAACTTTGTAAATACTCATCTTTTTGTTTCCCTACTTTGTCGTTATCGTGTTAAACGAAATCAATATATTATTTCGAATACACCTTCACACGATGAAAGAAAAAGATGGGGTTCTGCTATTTTAAAAATTTTAAAACTGTTGTAATCGTCTTCTTGTGTGTTTTTTTTTTAATTTTAACTTTTGACTGTGCCCGAAGATGGAAAAAAATTAACTTCCCATGACATATGTAGTGCTAAACGTTTGAAAATAAAAAGAATGACACATTAAACCAAGGAAATATTTATTTATATAAAATCCTGTATATTATACCAACATGTTAGCCAATAGTGTGTCCTATCAGTGCGTAATTGATCGATAACCGTTTTATTATCGGAAATACGAAGATATTTTAAATTTAAAAGTTGTATGTCCATATTTAACAATTATTATAAATAAACAGGGTGTTCCATAAACGAGATGATGTATAAAACCTATTCTTTTTTACTTTCCTATCTGTATACATATATAAGGAAAGTATAGGAATCATGATTTTTTTCGACCTCGAGTTTTCGACGGATTTTTACGTTTTGAGGTCTCCTGAATCCGTTTTGAATATTTTCGCGATGATGTCTGTGTCTGTGTCTGTGTCGTGTGTGTGTGTGTGTGTGTGTGTGTGTGTGTGTGTGTGTGTGTGTGTGTGTGTGTGTGTGTGTGTGTGTGTGTGTGTGTGTGTGTGTGTGTGTGTGTGTGTGTGTGTGTGTGTGTGTGTGTGTGTGTGTGTGTGTGTGTGTGTGTGTGTGTGTGTGTGTGTGTGTGTGTGTGTGTGTGTGTGTGTGTGTGTGTGTGTGTGTGTGTGTGTGTGTGTGTGTGTGTGTGTGTGTGTGTGTGTGTGTGTGTGTGTGTGTGTGTGTGTGTGTGTGTGTGTGTGTGTGTGTGTGTGTGTGTGTGTGTGTGTGTGTGTGTGTGTGTGTGTGTGTGTGTGTGTGTGTGTGTGTGTGTGTGTGTGTGTGTGTGTGTGTGTGTGTGTGTGTGTGTGTGTGTGTGTGTGTGTGTGTGTGTGTGTGTGTGTGTGTGTGTGTGTGTGTGTGTGTGTGTGTGTGTGTGTGTGTGTGTGTGTGTGTGTGTGTGTGTGTGTGTGTGTGTGTGTGTGTGTGTGTGTGTGTGTGTGTGTGTGTGTGTGTGTGTGTGTGTGTGTGTGTGTGTGTGTGTGTGTGTGTGTGTGTGTGTGTGTGTGTGTGTGTGTGTGTGTGTGTGTGTGTGTGTGTGTGTGTGTGTGTGTGTGTGTGTGTGTGTGTGTGTGTGTGTGTGTGTGTGTGTGTGTGTTGTGTGTGTGTTGTGTGTGTGTGTATGTGTGCGTGTAGGTGTGTGTAGGTGTGTAGGTGGGTGTGTGGGTGGGTGGGTGTGTAGGTGGGTGTGTGGGTGGGTGGGTGGGTGGGTGCGTGCGTGCGTGGGTGCGTGCGTGCGTGCGTGCGTGTGTGTGTGTGTGTGTGTGTGTGTGTGTGTGTGTGTGTGTGTGTGTGTGTGTGTGTGTGTGTGTGTGTGTGTGTGTGTCTGTATGTCGCATAACTCATGAACCCATACACAGAAAAATATCAAATTTTAAACTTAAGCTTTATTCCAGCGTCTAATGAACTGATTAGATTTTGGGCAGAGTCGGAACATCTGGGGGGGGGTACTTTATTGTTGGTCATTTTTATATTTTATGGAATATCTCTGTTATTTACGTTTGGAGAAGAAAAATCTTTAAATAAAAGTTACTTTTAATTTAATTATCTATAATTGTTCCATACAAAATTTTCCTAAAATGGTCCGTATTCGAGAAATTTGATAAAATGTAAAAAAAATAATTGTTTAAAAAAATTGTTCAAATAAAAGTTGTTTGTAATATAATTCTCTATAATTTTTATTCTATACATAATTTCTCTAAAATGGACCGTATTCGAGATATTTGAGAAAATTTGTAAATTTCGAAATTTGAAGAAAACTCAAAAAGGGATAAAGAAAAAACATTAAATTTAAAACTTAAGTTTTATTTCAGCCTGACGTGAAATGATTAGATTTTGGACAAAGTCGGAACATCTGGGGGGTACTTTATGGTGGGCCGTTTTTATATTTTATGGAATATATCTGTTATTTATGTTTGGAGAAAAAAATTGTTTAAATAAAAGTTACTTCTAGTAATATTATCTATAATTTTTGCTTTATGTAAAAATTTCCTGAAATGGTCCGTATTCGAGAAATTTGAGAAAATGTGCAAAATTCTGATTTTTATGAAAATTGTTGAAATAAAAGTTGTTTGAGATATCAATCTCTATAATTTTTGTTTATACATGATTTTTATAAAATGGACCGTAATAGAAAAATTGTAGGAAAAGTGCTAAATTAAATTTTTTCACTATTTTCGTTTTCAATGAATATCTATAGAAAAATGTTTCGAGATAGATGTATGTGGAAAATGTATATATTTAGTTTATCCTCCTCTAAACATTTATAGAGGTGCTGCAATAGGTTGTACAAAATAACCGGAAAAAGCCTGTAATAACTAGATAGGAAAGTCATGTGTTGGACACATCAGATTTTTAAAGCGAAACATTCTCGGCAAGTAGTTTGTATTTAATTGATTGTTCTCACATCGTCGAGCGATTTTATATGACTTCATTCATTTGCTATGTTGTATATAGGGTATGTCAAAATGCGAGGTAACGACTTTTTCAATTTTTTAAATGGAATATTTTTTATGTTATACCGCTAATTAATTTCCATCTAAAAAATTTAAAAATCGTAACCTCGCGTTTTAACACACCCCATATACAACACAGCAAATTAATGAAGTTAGTTAAAATTGTTTGACGTTGTGAGAACAATCAAATATGTATAACTACCTGCAGTGTGTTTTGCTTTAAAAATGTATAGGTTTGGTCAGCCCCTAATGGATCACCCTGTATATTTAAGAATAATTGTTAAATATGGTCATAAAACCTTTAGGTTACATTTTTTTTCGTATTTTCAATAATAAAACTACCGATAAAGCACTCATGGGTTAGTAGTTAACATGTTGGTGTCGTTGAATAGGTAAATTTAAAAAGAATTTTATTCTAAAATAATATACATGGTGTTTCAGTTAAAAAATTAAGTAAATTGAACTTTATATTAGCCATATTTAAGATATGTTTCAAAACACTGTCTAAAATAATCCAGTTCTATCACCACTATTCGTTAGCTATCTTATTTTGAAATCATTGTTAAACTACCTTAATAATGATAATTTAATTTGGGGTCCCATCATTCTCTTATTTCTAAAAAAAAATTTATCGCTTAGCAACCCTGTTATATTTTAATAAAAAATTCTAGAGTTGAATATAGTATTACCAAACCATTCTAATACTAAAATAAAATATCGGGTGTTCTATTTAAAAAATACACATTTTATTTGCCAGGCAATAACGCAACACCCTGTATATCCAAAAATATTTTTAAGATATGTATTTTTTTTCGAAAGGTTAGTACCGCCACAAAAAAAATTACATATTCCTACTTGTGTCTCGTAATTCCGACTTGTATCTCTGAATTCCGACTTGTAGCTCGGAATTTCGACTTGTAACTCGGAATTCCGACTTGTAACTCAGAATTCCGACTTGTAACTCGGAATTCCGACATACAACTCGGATTTCCGACATAAAAACTCCTGCTGATAAAAAAAGCACTTACCTGCAAAATTTTTGAAATATCTAATAAATATCACGAGTAATCGCTTACATCGGTGATAGTGGCAAAGCAGTTTAGGTAGAAAACGTAGAAGAAAATCAAAGTATGTGTAGGAAACCAACTGCTAAACGAAAATGTGAGGTTAGAATTCACCACAAATTGAAATGTAGATTGCTTTTAATATTGAGAAAGTACCCCAGCGTCATTTGTCTTTTAGAAACCAAACCTGCCAAGATATGAACCCTTGGCGTTATTGCCAGCTTGGCGATATTGTATTCACCTACCTTACTATTAGTACTACAATAAATTTAGTGTTCTGATTTTAGATTGGTTTTACATATTTAAAATGATCCATAATGAATCGTTTTATTCGGTTGTATCTATTTTAAAATGTCATGTTATTATCTGTAGATGTCTTGTTATTATCTTCAAATTTCCAACAGTTAATTTTCGGGAATTTATATTTTATTTATATATTTATTTATATATTATGACTATAGTATTAGATGTAATTACCATTATTTTAAAGCCATATTTTTTATTTTACAGATATTGCGAATGGACTTATAATGGATTGGGGATAGACTATCAAGTACTTGCTGGTCCAAGTTTTATAGCCGTTTTTACGATAGTAGGAGTAGTCATGGGTTTTCTAGCAGACAAATTCAACAGGTTTGTTAACAAAATTATTAATAAAATAATGGATAGGTAATTCATTATCATAAACATATTTTAAAATATGTATTTCACTATATTCTATATTATTTAATTTTCTATTACAGGGTCACATTATTAAGTGTTTGTACAGTAGTATTTGGCGTTGCCATTATTCTAAGTGGAAGCGTAAAGGAATTTTGGCAGTTAGTACTTCTGCGTATGATAATGGCAGCTGGAGAATCGGGTTGCAATCCTCTTGCCACTGGAATTCTCTCTGATATTTTTCCTGAAGATAAAAGAGCTTTGGTCATGTCCGTTTTTAATTGGGGAATATACGGAGGTTATGGTAAGTATATCATTAGGAGAAATGTAAAATTACAGCCAATTGTAGTAGTTCGTGCTCCATTATCGAGAGTTAAATAACTTTTAAAATTTGTATGACTTAAAATTTATAATTTCTTTGTAAACATAAACGAATATCTTGTGAATTATTCAGTGTCCATAGGCCTATCAAGGGGGGATCGGAGGTTTACTCACTTCATCTAGTATTCTTGGGAAAAGTGCGTAAACAAGTTCTGGTGTATTCGTGAACATTTATGAAATGCCATTTTTTTGTATTAATGGACTGTTTTGCTGTTGGAATGAGAAGTTCAAGTTTATATATCGATCTAAGCAGATTAATATTGCTAATATAAATTAGTACACAAGTAAATATGATATAAATTAGAATATAGGATCGAAAATCAAATGAGAAACGTTACAATACACTATCAACTTTGAGAATTTTCACTCGATCAATTTTTGGCAATGTTTTCTTTTTCTTTTAAACTGGAGTTTGTTTACTATATAGCTAACCTTGGTATTGGTTTACCATATAGCTAACCTTGGTATGATGCCACTATTATCTTCTATAGACGTAGATACATTCATTTGACAACCTTTTGCATAGCTGCTCTATAAAATTCGTTATTTTCAGGTATTGCATTTCCTGTTGGCCGGTATATTCCTCCTATGAATACCTGGGGTCTAGGATGGAGAGTAACCTACTATGGTGCTGGAATTGTAGCTCTTATACTGGCACTTTTGACTTGGTTTACATTAAAAGATCCCGAACGCAAATCGATCGGTGAAGATGCATCACAGAATGCGGCCGCTAAAAAATTCACTATTTGGAACGTTATAGCTGATCCCAGGGTGATTCTTTTATGTTTCGCTGCTTCCATAAGGCATTGCGGAGGGATGTGCTTTGCTTACAATTGTGATCTTTATTACCAAACTTATTTTCCCGATTATGATTTAGGTAAGTACAACTTTTTTTAGTAAGTACTAAAATGATGAAAGCAATATAGTATTCTGCATTTGAAAATTCACACCTGCCAACTACCATTTTACTCAAATAGATTCAAAACTTTTCTGTAACTCATAATCTTTTACTAAATGCAAATCTTCTAGAATTTTCAAAATATGTCAAATCAATGTCAAATCACTTCTTATTTGGCTCTTAAACTAACTCCTACTTAAAGTTTTTCCAGTATCGATATTCGTTACAAACATTAAACATAACCTCACATCGGACAGCATTATCATTTACTTATAATGCCGTTAATCTTTATAATAACTTTAACCATACCAATATTAAGACCAAGTCGACATCTTCATTAAAAAAAAGTGCAAAAAGGCACTACTTGAGTCACATTAAAAATATTGTTATTTTAGAGCCGTAAATGTTAATATTTTTTGTTTGAGATTAACAATTGTTTTTAAATTGTACCAAATTTTAAAATCTTTATTTAATATTTTTTATATTGCTTTTTATTTAAGGAATTTGATTAAATCTAAGATTAGCTTATGCTAAATCTTGCCCCTCAATATTTAATTTTGTTACAATTATAACTTATTGTTTGTATATCTGTAGGTTGGTGGCTGTTTGCAGTTACTATAGTTATTGGCTCGATTGGTGTAGTCATTGGAGGAATAATATCGGACAAGATTGTGGCAAAAATGGGTATTCGATCAAGGTGTGTGGTCTTAGCAGTTAGCCAAATAATAGCGACTCCTTTTGCATTTGGAAGTGTTTACTGCACACCCGTAGGTGCTATGGTTACCCTTGGGATCTCTTATTTCTTTGGTATGTATAAACAGGATTTCAATTACTTAATTTAGGTAGTTACGAGGAGCACTGATAAAGTTAGAGAAAAATGTAAAACAAAACAAAAATTACGATATGTTTTTCTTTAAAGTGTTTACACTTTTGCGTCTGATGTAAACCATCTTTAAAACGCTTTTTTCACTCTGAGCAAGGTACCTCCAGAACAAGGATTCCATCTTTCTTTTCAGGAGATAAAAAACGCTATTGTTAATGTCTTATTGGGCATTAAATCAGGTTAGGTTAATATGGGCAATGAGTCATTATTTGGATGCTGTTACTGGTCAAAAACTCGACAGCTCAACTTGATGTGTGTATTACAAATTTCAACATGTTCAGATGTTTCAAATAAGCCTTTGATCTTTGCCGTAAAATATAGACTCACGTACCATATTACAACTCTTGTTGAACCGCAACATCAACATATCACACGATACTACAACATACTCCAACAAAGCTAAATTTTTTGTGTTAAAATAAGTTGTGGTTGCGGTATGTTGGAGTAAGTTGTTTCAGTGTGGACACGGCTTTAAGTTCAGGAGTGGTTAGACCTGTTCGAGGGCCAAAATATGCTTTAAATTCATTTACATTTATAGAAAATTATTATTAAAAAAAAAATAAAGGAAAAGAGGAACAAACAATTTTCTGAGAGCCACTAAGTTTTCCAGAAAACTTGAAAAAATCTATTCCTGTTATCTCTGTTATTTCTTTTATTATTACCTACCTATTATAAATATATTACTTTAAAACTTGATTTATTTTACTTTTCTTTTCAGCTGAAATGTGGTTTGGCATTCTATTTGCTATGGTGGTAGAAATAGTGCCTCTACATGTCCGATCTACAACGATCGGTGTCTTCCTCTTCGTCATGAATAACATCGGAGGAAATCTTCCTATTGCTGTTGAACCTGTATCAAAACAAATTGGCTACAGAGAAAGTTTATTCATATTTTATGTCGGAGCTTATGCATTTAGTAAGTTTTTGTATATATATTTTTTTTTTCACAAATAATACTAATAATAGCATTAATAAGTACGTAGATACCTAAAAAAATTGGGAATTTGGGAATTTGGAATTTATAAGCGATGATTTTTTGCTGGGATAAAGAACAGTGTTTGTTATAAATGTTATACAGGGTCATTCTATATGGGCGAAATACTTGATTTATAGCTTAACTATGACTTGTACGATAATTTGACTTAGATAAAAGTTTTTGTACATTTTATGTACTATTTATTGACGTTTACAGATTTCCCGCATACGTAATTATTTTCAAGATATGACGTCATCGGGCAATATTTTAAATGGATCACCCTGTATTTATATTTTTAAGATCATTTGTTGATAGATTAGGATATTGCCAGGCAGCCGAGGGCTATTAGTTTAAACATCTACTTTAAATAAATGTGTTTCGTCTTATTAAAGTATAATCTAATTTAATTGTTATTATAAGACCGTAAGTTTGGGAACCACTTAATGTACCATTGATGAATTCAGTCAGATCATACGAACATGCATGTTTCAGAAGGAGCTATTGAGCTTTTTCCTTGTTAATTATGAACATGAACCCTAGATTTGTTTGCAACTCTAAAGCGAACGTTTATTTTTTATTCATGCGCTTTTTGTCTGACTCGTTATTAATAGGTCATCAAGCTATATAACCAATATAATATTCTTGGGTCTTAATTTGTGCATAATTTTGGTAAAAATATATGTGGCTGAACTAAGGCCGAAGGGTAAACATTGAATATTCATAAAGTATATTACTGAATTTAAACCTTAACTATTTTTTGTAAGTTTTTCTAATTGGGACTAAAAATAGGCATCTTGCAAGTCTATTGCATACATATAACATTGCAATGTTTTTTGTACTGTTCGGTATTCCTCTAGTTTGAATTGGATTGCTATCACATATACACATTTATTTATTTATATTAGATTGAGTAAAAACCTATGTTTGCCACTTGGTTTTGTTCTAAGAAAATAGCTAGATACGAACTTATTTGAGCGCATTACTTAACGGCACCCTTCTTTGATAAAGTTTAAATTTCAAGTTTAATTGCAGATGACTCTGGCTTTAAGAAATTTTTGTTTGGTGAGGGTTTCATTTGGATTGAATTTTCGAAAAAAATAATTTTACTATCTTTTATGCAGTTCAAAACAAAAGTATTGTTTGTTCAAACCCGCCATTCATTGTAATGAAATTTTAATATACCTGCAACTTGACCTATATCAGAGTTTAATTTTGGTATTGGTATCCTTGACGACGATGCTCTTTGTTCTTTAACCTGTTCTGGGTCTCTTTCTTTGGTAAGATAGTTTTCCGTTCTATTTGCAATATCGTCTTTTAGGTGAGTGCCATCAGTGGTCTGTGTCAGCCAATCTGAGATATTAACTACAGTTCATCAAATTTCTAGAGGCTTTCGACGCCCAGACAGAGAACGCGCTACGTGTGACTAAGATAGCTATTGTACAGTCTGCTAAACAAGTTATTTTAAATAGTTTTTAATATTTTTAGGTAATTAAATTTTAAAAGTGTGGAATAGTTTAGGGATTAAATTGGTCTGATTGGACTTTCTTAGAACGTTTTTAAAAGCAGCTAAAGATAGTATGTAGAATTGAAAATAATTATTATGCCATAAAAGGTGTTTTGGAATTCCTTCAACCTTTTGAAATTGAGTCAGAAAATATAAATTTTATAGGATAGCGGAAAATACCTATAATTTTTTTGTAGGCCTTTGTAAATCGTGGAAATAGTTTATATTTTATTTCTACCTTATTAAGGAAAATGGTACCTATTATTAATAACGGTTGTTTCTGAAACATTACTAAAATTTTCGAAATTTTGTTTTTCTACAAAATAATAAACTATACTATTTAGAAAAAAAATTATTTCTCTTATAATTTTATAAAAAATTACAGGGGAATATTTACATTTCTTGATCTATTAAACAAAACGATAAATTATCTCGACGAAATTCCCAGACAACACACCAAATCCCAGAGATATCCACAGAATATCTTTTGTGGATATCCAATATATCCACAGGATATCAGAAATATTCCGTGGATCTAATATGGATATCCAAATGTCCGTCTATATCCAGAATATAGAAGATATCCTAATGAATATTCAGCAAAATATCTAATGGGTATCTACCAGAAAATACAAGAAATTCCAGATATATCCACAGAATATATTTTGTGGATATTCAATATATCCAATATGGAGATCCAACCAAATGTCCGTCTATATCCCAGGATATAGAAGATATTCGGATATTCAGCAAAATATTTTATGGGTATCTTTAGTAGAGGTTCATAAGTAACCAATGATTATTGAATAACGTCGAAAGAAAATAGCAAAGATAAAAAATATTTTCAACACTCAAAATATTTTCAACACTATGCCTTTGATTTTGCCCACTATGGAGAAAGTCATTCTTATTAGGACTCTTCAACAATAAATGGAAATTCTCGACTCCAGTCTCTAATGAAATCTGAATAAAACAAAAATTTCGGTCGAACTCTATTACGGCGGGTCAAGCATGAGTAGATGCGAAAGTGGTATCGCCATCTATACTTAGTAAGCAAAATCAAATAACATCTAGTGGATATCTACGATGGTTTGCGTTCGCGCCTAGACTTTGATATATTTAGTGGATGTTCATGGGATATTGAATACACCTTAAAAAATTTAATTTTAAATATCTGAACGGTACTATTAGCCACAATGGCGAGCACAATGGAGAAATTTTTTAATAATTTGCTATATAATTACTATTATTTTTAGACATGTGCATGTCTATAAATTACATATCATGGATATAAAATAGATATCCACCATGGACTGGACATTCAGTGGATATTGGGATGTGCAGTAGATATCCAAAGGATTTGGTGTGCTGTCTGGGATGACACCATGTTCTAGTACGGAAGCTAGCTTTACATTTTTGTTGGTGGTTTCATGGGTTTCATATCAATTTTTTGTAATTGTAGTTTACACGTACATATACCTCTTAACACTTGTTTGCTTCATTAAAAAAGTGTGTTGTTGTGATTTACGTCGAAATAAGTCTAAAACAACTTGAAACCCCATATAAAATCAAAAAGGAGAAACGGAAAAAAATTGAGCCTGTAAATGAACACAACTCGGAAACAAAAATAGCTATCTAATAATAAAAAAATAAAATTTGATTCTTGTGCAGCTTCATCTATATCATTAACTGTTTTTGGTTTTTTAATGGTTTTTCTTGGTGATGAAAATTCCGATATCTCACGGTTATCGATTCTTTTTTTCTCTCCAGAAATGCGGACGACAGTGTTTTTAGATACTCCTGTGGCTGCAGCAACACGATCATTTACATTTTTAAATGGTATTGAAGGTGAATTAAAGTTTCCTTCTCTTCTCATAAACTCTATAACATTGGCTATTATTTCGCGAGATTGACTGTTAATCACGCGGCCTCTTAATTTGCTATTAAACTCCATACTTAGGTTCTATTAAACTGTAATGAGCAAAAAACACAAACGAAAATAAAAGAAATGTTTTAGCGAAATTTACATCTGACATTTACGTCTAAATGAAATAGTGAAATACTTGATGCGCAGAGTGTACTTTCATTGCGTAAATCCGTCGGGATGCCTGTCAGTAGTGCTTTCTCTGTCTAGCCGTCGAAAGCCTCTAGAAATTTGATGAACTGTACCTGACCCTGGGAGCGTAGACTTAGCTTGAATCTGAGTCATCAGAAAAATTTTGATGTATTGACACAATATCTTTTGTGAAAGAATAAGCACTATAAATCAAAATCCAAGATTCATGAGCGTAAAAAACGTATACATCTCGACATCGGTCGCAATGGGCGTTGTGGTATCATTCGCATAAAGCAGGGCAGATATCTGAAAATGTTCGCATGAAGCAGAAAAAATATAATCATTATCTTTTTAATAGTTGGTAGGTATTTAACTACATCTATATTATTAACAACAGTTTTACAACTTACAAAAACGCGTATGATCGACATTAATGGCATGTCGTTTGTAGTAGAGAAAAAAAAATGGCAATTGTGATATCGTTCGCATAAAGCAGGACATATACCAAGTACATATTTTGAGGTAAACCAAAATCTTATTTCGTTCAATGATGTGAAATTGTTCGCATAAAGCAGGACAATTATCACATTAAATTTAATTCTAGCCTAACCAAAATAATTAAGTAGGCTCTAAAAAATGATTATTATGATATCGTTCGCATAAAGCAGGACATATACCAAGTATTTTTGACTAAATCAAAATCTTATTTCGTTCAATGATCTGAAATTATTCGCATGAAGAAAGGATAAAAATCACATTCAATTTAATTTTAGCGTAAACGAAATAATTTTGTAGGCATGTGAATTATAAACAACAGTTTTACAACTCACAAAAAACGTATATACTCGACATTACTGGCATAAAAAGCAGGGCAAATATTGTTTTCTACTATAAAAATGGTCATTGTGATATCGTTCGCATAAAGCAGGACAGATACCAAGTATTTTTGACTAAATCAAAATCATATTTCGTTCAATGATCTGAAATTATTCGCATAAAGCAGGATAAAAATCACATTCAACTTAATTCTAGCGTAAACGAAATAATTTTCTAGGCATGTGAATTATAAACAACAGTTTTACAACTCACAAAAACGTATATACTCGACATTACTGGCATAAAGCAGGGCAAATATTGTGTTCTACTAAAAAAATGGGCATTGTGATATCGTTCGCATAAAGCAGGACAGATACCAAGTATTTTAGACTAAATCAAAATCTTATTTCGTTCAATGATCTGAAATTATTCGCATGAAGAAAAGATAAAAATCACATTCAATTTAACTTTAGCGTAAACGAAATAATTTTGTAGGCATGTGAATTATAAACAACAGTTTTACAACTCACAAAAAACGTATATACTCGACATTACTGGCATAAAGCAGGGCAAATATTGTTTTCTACTAAAAAAATAGTCATTGTGATATCGTTTGTATAAAGCAGGACAGATACCTAATATTTTTGACTAAATCAAAATATTATTTCGTTCAAAAATCTGAAATTATTCGCATAAAGCAGCACAAACATCACATTCAATTTTAATTCTCCGAAATAGTTTTTTAGCCGGCAAAAAACATGATTCATGAAAGATTTTTTAGCTGTTATATACATTATTTGTACTTACTGTCTAAACTGGAGTCCGTAGTATGGTTTGTTTCCAACATGTCTTGCAGTTTTCGCATTTTTCTTTTTATTTTCCTATATTTTTCTTTGTCACATTTTTGTTTCGGCATTTTTCCCAAAAATTGATACGTACACTTCAACACAACAAAGAATAATGAGGTATATCGGGTCGTCGATGATAAGCATAGAATGCGGCAGCGGCGTACCCAAAAAATTTTAGTATCTTTAAAAATGTTGTGAAATAATCGTACACTTCGATCAATCGAGAGTATACTACATATTATGGATATATTGGGGCCCAGCAGTGAGGTACAATGGCATACTTGACTGACTATAATTAGAGTAGGCGTTAACTGGTCTCACTTTATTTATATCAGGCACTAACTTGTCTTGCACTAAATTGATTCGCGCTAAAATGGTTCGGATCCTAAAATGTGAGAGAAACTGAGCTACACTTCAAATATTCTCTACATAGGCGTCGTTGGAACAATATTTGTTAGGCAATATTAAAAAACATATCTTGTTTGTTACGCGCTACTTTGTCTTTGCGCCATTTTGTCTTGCGCTTTTTGTCTTTGCGCCATTTTATCTTGCGCTATTTTGTCCTGCGCCATTTTGTCCTTGTGCTATTTTGTCCTAGTTTTATTTTGTTCTTGCGCCAGTTTGTCCTGCGCTATTTTGTCCTGCGCTAATTTATCCTGCGCTAATTTATCCCTTCGCTATTTTGTCCTGCGCTGTTTTGTCATGTAGCAAACAGTTACAGTAAATCTATGATTGTGACAGAAAGTATCTCAACATCTTACTTTGCTGTCACAATCAAAGATGGCGAAGACTGAAAAAAATTACAAACCTTTTTCAATGTTCTCTCAACGTCCCGATGGAAAAACGTTGGAACCAACTTTTTCATTTAATATCAAATTAATTTCAAAAAGGTAAATCAAACAAAGGTGGTCCTTAGGATCTCACAAGAGTATTTTATTACGACCAGTTTCGAGGATCAAATCCTCATCATCAGGTAAGGTCTAAAAATAGAGAGGAAAAACGAATGAGCTCATAACTAATAAGTGGGTTTAAACATTTTAATATGAAAGTTGTCAAATATCAAGAACTCACCCGTAATTACTCATCTATTTAAGACTAAGCTAATAGAATTATCCCAGGGTCGGTGTAAAAACAAGTATGCGAGTATTTTTTTAAATACATAAAAAATATAAAAAAACAATAGTTGCAACAAAAAGTTGATGTCAAAACACATAAACAAAAGTAGGTCTAAAACTATTAATAAAATTATTAAAATATTTTACGAACGGAGTGGTCTCCTTTTAGATAAAGACAAACTAATGAATTATATTTTAGCTTTATTCTAATTTTTCATAGGTAAATGTACTATATTACCTGGCCTATAATCTCAATTTTTTAGGTTACTACGTATTAATTAGAACGATTAATAATCGACGCGTTTTTATTGTAATTAATGCAGTGGTCTCCTTTTAGATAAAGACAAACTAATGAATTATATTATACTTTTCAGGTTCCGTTCTTTTCCTGTTGACCACATTCCTTATGCCAGCTCAAAAGCCAGCCGAACCAGCTCCGCAGAAAGAATTAACAGGACACGATAACGTTGTTTTCACCGGCGATGAAACGAATCTACCTACCATTACATCCCTTGTAAGGAATACAAAGAGGATGGACAATGAAAGTCATAGGCTGTAGAAACTTATTATTTAAGTTTTTAAAATATTGTAAATATGTTTTTAAGTGTAAATAAGCTGTGATCGAACATTTGCGGACATTATTGTAAAATAAATATTTGTAAAACAAAAAATAGAGTTTTAAGATAAGTGAATTGAGAAGGTGTTATTAAGAGTTTACTTGATTAACTGGAAAGATGACACACCCCAATTAGTCATTTTATATTTTTTAATATTTTTCTGATCCGTATCTTTTGTATTATTTTGTTGTAGCTGTTATAATAAATGCGTTACAGGAAAAATAAGCACTCCTCTCTCCCTAATGAGAGTCAGACTATGAGTGACGTCATGCGCATGACAGACAAAAACTGAACACAGGAACATCCGGCCCTCGGTAATATTGGTGTGGAATTTACCTAATCACTTTAGTTTAGCTTCAAAGTTTATGCGATTTGGTCGAGGTTTCGGTACTATATAGTTAAAATAAGTAGTGAAAATAAGTAAGGTAGTTAATGTTCAACAGTGTGTTCTTTCGAAATAAATTTGGACAAACAGGAAACAGAAAAACAGAAGCATTGTCACCTTTCTAGTGATGCCAAGGAAATAGTTCTAAACGTTTATTCTGCTGAGTAATTATAATAATTATTCCCATAATATGAATCCAGGAAAAAAGCCTTGAAAAAAAAACCCGGGGAAAAAACATTTTGTGCATGTAACATTATTAGACGGAGAGCTGGCAACACAAAGACTAGGTAAAGTCAACAGGCAACTGTGTACAAAATTTTACAGGACTGGGCACCACGTAGAAAGGTGCGACAAGATTCTGGTTCATCTCGTTTCATTCCATAGTTTCTTTTAGAACCGATTAGGGAAACAATTTATGAAATGTTCTCTGTAAATAATTTTCCTACTTTGAACACGTTATTATTACATTTAAAATAAAAAACGTTAATAGGAGACTGCCATAAAACGACATTATGGAGATTTTTAAAATACAACGGCTTCAAATTTAAAACCATTAATAAAAGACAAACAATTATGGAATCCAGCCGTTTAGTTAAATGGAGAATAGAGTATCTCGATTTAATTATAAAGTATCTACGAGAGGGAAGAAACATTCATCATAAAAAAAACGTTGGACTGATGGAAGTTTAAAATGTAATGTAGACACTCCTCCATCTCGAGGAAAAAGAATATGCATTTTCCATTGTGATGAAGAATAAGGTTGGGTAGAATGAGTTCTTTTGCTGCCTGTAAAGGATGTACGGGATAGTAGTTTGGACTACCACCAGGTCATAGAAAGTACTCTTTTTGAAAAATGATATGAGAGTACATTACTATCAAAACTAAATGAAAATAGCATAGTAGTTTTAGATAATGCCCCTTACCATTCTCGGTTGATACGAAAAAAACCAAATACCAATTCTACGAAATCAGTGATTCAGGACTTTCTGATGGAGAATAATAGATTTTTTGAAGAAAACTAAACAAAAAAATAGTTAATAGAACTTTTACACTTGGTTGATTTTCAACCTAAATAAATTATCGACACCATACGGATTTAAAGTTTTTTGAACCCCATAGAATTATTATGGTCACAGTTAAAAAATTATTTTCGAGCAAATAACTCTTCTCCTAAGTCCACTTCTTCTGTAATTGATGTAGCAAGAAATTCATTTAACTGTATAACTGTTGAAAACTAGAAAAACGCTATTCAACATGTTAAAAAAAAGAAATATATGAGATTTAACAATACAATTCAAAAAATTGAAATAACGGATGATACTGATGATGATAGTGATATTATTTCAGAACATGAAATTAGTGACTGACAAAATAAATCTAGTGAAACACATTCTTTTTAAATTAATACTTAATAATTTTAGTTAGTTTCAATTTTTAATATATTTTTTAGTTGAACATGTGTTTAAAAATAAAACCTTTGTTAATTTTTTGTATTTTAATACAAGTTCTCAGGTATATTTTGTATGTATTTTAAATGTTATTAAAAATCCTATGTACTTATTGTAAATAAAGTATTTTTGAAATGAATGAAATGAATGTCGGTTTAGTCGTTTTGGAGGTCCTTTCGCCACACCTCTCGCCTCAAATGTTAAAAAAAATTATTAGATTACGACTAAAATTAATTTTTTTCTAATAGTTGAAGTCCTTATTTATCTAATACTAAACTTTTAACTATACCTTACCTTGTAAATTTTTGAGATTTTTTTTTTTTAAATGTGAGTATTTGTACAGTGCCTCACGAGAAAGTAAGTCCTCAACAACAATTCTCGAATTATACTATTATTTATTGATTAGATGGAGTAGAAAAAAACTAAAAATAAGGTTTTTGAAATATTTAGGTTTTGTTTTTTACAATAAAATATATAGGTTACCGTGGAATTTATTGAGAAATTATTATTAAAAAATCACAAAAAAATTTTCAACTAGGTTACTTGAAATTTTTTTGTGATTTTTTAATATTAATTTCTTAATAAGTTCCACGGTTTACTATATATATTTTATTGTATAAAACAAAACCTAAATATTTCAAAAACCTTATTTTTAGTTTTTTTCTACTCCATCTAATCAATAAATAATAGTAAAATTAATTATAATTCGAAAATTGTTGTTGAAGTCTTACTTTCTCATAAGACACTGTACAAACACACATTTTTAAAAAAAAAAAATCTCAAAAATTTGCACGGTAAGGTATAGTTAAAAGTTCACTATTAGATAAATAAGGACATCTACTATTAGAAAAAAAATAATTTTAGTCATAATCTAATATTTTTTATTTAACATTGGTGGCGAAAGGACCTCCTTAAAAGAAGAAAACCGACAATTCCGAAGTAGAAGCGGATGATTAAAACGCAACTATTAAAAATATTGCGCCAAGATGTAGGCAACACGTAATAAGGGATCAAAATGGCGGAGTTTTCTATCTCCTTTCAAAAGGCACTCAGAAAGCTGCGCAGTGCGGCCATTCTCCGTATAGTAAAAGAAAATCAAAGTATGTGCATAAAGCTAAGTTTGTGTGAGATAAGGGACACTGTCTCAACTAATTCCACCAAATTGAATTGTGTTTACAGTTAAAACCTATTAAAGTGACCAATATGAAATATTAGAAATTAAGAGAAATTATGAAAATACATACTGCCAGTAAAAGGACTTTCCAATAAAATCAATGGTCGTTATCATGTATGAAAACATTAAAATGTTTTTGAGTCCCAACTTGCTAAAGCACAGTATATCACTTCTACTTATTAGGCAACCACCATTACACGTGTATTCCTTGTTGCCGTCCACTCTGATAAACAAATGAAATATTCGCGATTCAAATTAATTTTCGCGCGCCTGTCATTTGTCACGTATAAGTAGGATGTTTGTTTATTTACGTGTTGTGGGATTTTGTATTTGTGATTTTTTAACTGTTTTTAGATAATATTCTTATTATAATAGTGTTTTTGAGTTTCATTTAGTGTTAATTTAAGTTTAGTTTTCGTGCTTTCGTTATAAATGTAATTTTTCATGTGTAGTACGAACTAATTTGTTGGAAATATTGACCTATTGGGTGCTACAAGAACATCTAGAAATATGTATTTACTAGACCCAGGACATGTTTTATTATGTGGTTTAAAGGACATATCAGGTACCAAACGTTTATTATTGATGAACTTCTTTAAAAATCTTACTATCCTTATTCTTATATCATGAAGTGAATTGTGTAGTACTTTGTATACATGTAAATGGTAATAAAACCGTCACAACTCATATTGGAGTTTGATTCTAAACAACGTTTTGCAAAATTTCAATATTGTGAATTTATAGATACCCATTTATCGTAAGAAACAGAATTTTATGACTTGCACTTGAAAAATAATGAATACTCCAGTTTTGATTTTGACAATAACACCATACAAATTGCAATTTGCTGGAGGCTTTTTCGCAGATTTCATTTTTAATTTAAATACTATCACATACTATAAGAAATAAACAAATTTAAAGCTAAAAAGTAACAAAAAACTCTAATTGTAATTGATACAAATTAAAATGTAAACAATGAACACGAACGCCAATGTTGCCAAATGATGAACTGATTTTGTCTCTGACTGATTTTAAAACTAAAATTAATAAATGAACTGATATTTAAAAAAAAAAATCAATATAATAAATCGATTTTATAAAAAAATCCTTAAATAAATAGTATGATTACATATTACTAGACACAAATTTTGATTCTTAAATAAAAGGTCTTATCCATTTCTTCAAAAACTAAAATCCGACGACGTAACGAAATTTTGCTGCTTCTGGCAACACTGAACGTCATCCTACTTATAGGGACCTTTTACTAATTTCCTCCAGAGGGCGTATCACTTAGCTTGAATCGCGAATAGATAACAGTTTTGGTCTCCATGGGCGCATCAAATAGTTTTTTTTTATTTGTAAATATTTTGTCAAAGACAAATTTAAAGAAAAATGCATCTAAAACAAAGGTTAAATGACTAGTGGCATTTATTTTATTCAGATAATATATTTACACTTAAATAAAGTGCTAAAATAACGTCACTCGAATTAGTTGAGTTTTCACAAAGACTAATATCCCGTATGTCAATTGACATGCTACTTGAGCATAAAAAATACAGATAAAAGTTTTATGATCTAAAACTTCTCTTACATTTCTAAACAAATAAGACAATATTAGTTGTTCCAGAAATTTGTTGCTAATATCTATAGCCAGTTCATTCCTAAATTGTATGCACAATATCTGAGAAACCTCCTCTATACATTTAAATTACATAAATTTCGTGATTACCAGCAAAACACACTAAGTCTGAGTTGATGAAAAATGCATTAAGTCACTTTTAGTGCTATTATGGATTTCGCTGAATTAATCAGGGGAGCTTGTTTCTCTAGAAACGTGACAAATAACTAACAAAGGTGTAAAGCATAAATGTTTTAGTATTCTCTACTTACTGTGCTGTTCGTATTTGAAAAAAGTAAGTGATTTCAAAAAAGTTATACGCATAGATTACTTGAATAGATGGGAAACTCAATGGTAAAATTCTGAGTCGATGTGCTGCCATCTATCAAATTGGAGTGGTACTAAAATTCAATATGGCCGCCACGAGTGGGCTTTTTGAAATTTAACTTTGTAGTAGCGCAAAAATGTAATGAAGAAAATCAAATAAAGCAAAAAAATTGGAAAAATATTTGACTGGTTTTAAATAATAAAACAACCATATTGACTGTTTTGTGATTTGAAACTAGTCAAATATTCTGCCAATTTTTATCTTTATTTGATTTTACTTCATTATATTTTTGCATTAATTTCAAACTTGAAATAAAATGCAATTTATTTTATTTTATTTATTACAGTAAATTAACGCCGCATCATATAATTTGTCTATTTATGGAAATAAACAAATATGCATTTACACCATTTAAATAATTAAATATTTATAAAACAAACCTATCAAAAATGTTTTCTGTAACAAAATCAGCATATATAAGTGCTCAAGACCTTTATAAAAGTTTTGCGACTTGGAGTGGCAAATAAGTTTGAAAAAATTGAGGTTGAAGCATCCATCATCCTTTTTTACTATCGAAGCAAATTTGAGTGTGGATAAAATTTGCCATACGGTTATTGAGTTGACTAGTTGGGTTGAGGAGCATTTCTTCATCCGATAATTGTTTTCTTGATTCATTTATACAGCACTTGTAGTTATCAACTTTTTATTCATCATGTCGGCACTGTGATAAATAAATTTAACTTTTGAGCATAAATTAAACTTACACACGTTTGGAACCTTGAAGATTTTAGGGTGTTTTCTTGTTTGATGTCAATGGCATTGAATCAGTTTTTGATATTGATGGCTGAGGCTCAAATATTTCATCGATCGACAGGGTATTTTGGAGGGCCAACATTTTCTTTACAAAAATGATCATTTAAAAACTGAAAACAAAAAGAAATTTAAATAACAAACCAATTATTTTAACACTGAATCAAATACAAGTTTGTAAATATTACTTACCGTTGGTACAGTGATGGTGCATTTTTCTTAAGACACTTATTACAATTTGGGGGACGACGGCATATTTAATGTGGTATAAATTGCATTACTAGCAATATCTGGGAGTGCTTTATTGTTTGTTGCTGAAATCCATCTTCCCATCTTTTGAAAACATGCTTAAAATTGGAAGGTGTTGAAAAATAAATCTAGATTCTAGATGAATCAAAATTCAATACACCTTCAAATACAATAGCTATTTTATTTTATCTGAGTTTGAAGTTTTGACGAGCTGACAACTGACATGATATTTCGATACGAGCGCCATCCCGTTAATTGGAGTGGTACTAAGTTACCAGCCTCATGTTTTTCCATTTGAGTTACCAGCCCCTGCTTATACGTGAATAGCGTTTTGCTGTTTGCACTTTAAGTTGTAAGATTTTCGGACGTAGATAAGGCAAAACATTAAAATATGGACCTAAATATTATGACTTGAATATTAAAATATCAGTAAATGTATGCTGTTTATTATGTTTTTGATACCTTATAATTCTGGATTTGGCCTCAATATATTCTAATAAAGTTTATAATTATAATTTCAAAATACTAACCTTAGTTATTTGGACCAATCAGCATTCACGATTTATAATTATGACAGCTTACAACAAAAATTAAAGTCACTTATGAATAGCAAAATGGCATTTTAGTAATTGAGCTTTATTGAGAAGTCCACTTGGCACTTTCATTGCTATGTGTTTTCAGCTAAAAATTAGAGAATAACCCCCCCCCCTCTGACTTGTTCTAGATTAACAAACTTCTCAATAATTAGATTTTCAACATGTTTTTAAAGTTTTTGGAATTTTAGATCTTTTAATAATCTTCAAAATAATATGTGTCAAAAATATTTTCTACAAACGGGCATTTTTAAATTTACCTATTATTTCTAGCATAACTTTATTTCTTTGAATTTAGACTCTTTTATAAGATGTCTTCTTTATAAATTGAATAACCTATTCTAGGTATAGCTTCTGGAGCAATGTCTGTGGAACAACTTTAATTTTCTGTTCCAGTATGTGAAAATTATAAATCTCTTCTATACCGTCTTTCACCACATTCAGTAGGAAGAAAATTTACCTTAAAAAAGTTATAAAATATTTACAATATAATCATTCTATAAGTATAGTTCATTTCATTGCTATTTTTCAGAAGATACAAAAAACTTTTTGGAGTAATTTGTATTTTTATAAATTTTTTCTTTTCAGGAAGCGCTAAGATTTATTTTACTTTGTCAAGCAGGATATATAATATAGCATTAATTTTTAAACTCTAAGTATAAAATGTATAAATAATAAATGGTAGGTATTGTATTGCATAATATTATTATAACTTACTTAAAGACGGATCAAGTTGAGGATTGAATAAAATAGGAATTGCTTCCAGTTTTAAATTCGTCTTTCCCGGCAGAATTCATAACAAAATCATAATTCAAAAAATGTTTCCAATATATTTTAGTGTTTTTCTTAATTTTATCAACTTCAACCGTTCCTAATCTAGGTTTTAAATTCAAATTTCCATAGCTTCAAAGTTTGTAAAAAACCTGCTTTAAAAAAAACTAATATTATTCTACAATATTCGTGTACCGCCCATGTTTTTTATTTACTTACTTTTGAAAAGACGTGGAACTTCTCCAAATGTATATTTTTGGGCTAAAAAACATTGAAGAGTAATTTTTAGACTTACAACTAACAAAATTCGCTAAAAAAACATTCTAGAAACTATAAAAAGTTTAAAAATATGCACTGGGAATATAAAATCATACAAAATGTACAAACAAAACTGACAGTTCCCTAGTGCTTGTTGACAGTTGTGAGAAAATGTTGGCGCTGCCACAGTTTATTGCTAAAGAATCAGTTAGCTCACTTGGACCAGTTGAATGTTCCAAAATAACATCCACTCCGGATACAAATTTAGGATGCGCAGAAGACTGCTGTTTGAATATAGTAGGCGGTTGTCATATATTGTATTGGTTATGATTTGATTATGTATGCGCCAAGGATACAAATCCGAGTTGCATAGTGTATAAACTGGAACATTGAGATCAAAAGTGTCGACGCAGAGTGAGCGAACTGATTGTTTAGCTATAAACTGTGGCACTGCTATTTAAAATAGACCAATCACATCAGAGACCAAGGAGAAAGAGAATGTAATAGAAAAAAAGGTTCATACTGGCTCAAACTTGTAATTTTTTGCATAAAATGTAAGTTTTCTTTGCTGATCTAAGCTACGTTCACATAGTCGTTAACTTCTTTTGGTTCCTTTAGCAATTTCTGGAGAAGATGGGTGAGCGCATAGTTGCTGATTCATTATAAAATAACAACATGCATTATATTTATTTGTAGTAGCGCATTTTGGCCGGTTGATAGAGAATTTACCCTATTTCTCTAACATTTGCTTCTTTTATCCCCCATATAACAATAAAACATAAATAAATTAGCGGGCTGTATAGTGGAAAAAATATTTATTTTATTTGATAAAAAATAAGTCGAAAAAATTTACCTACATAAGTATAGGTACGTATTTAATTTAAACAAAAATGTAAAGGTCGCAGTACAAAAGTGTTCATATTTTATCAAATACATCTGGTATAATTTTTTTTTTCAAGTACTTAGTTTGGATTTAAAAAATCTTGAGTTAATTTCATTATTTTTATTCTATACTCCATTTTGTCGTATGCGGAAAAAGTCCTTACATGTGGCAGTAAACTTTTAAAAAAATTTAAATCTTCATCTTCTTCCATTTGCATTTTTTGTTCTTCTCGATACTGATTTCTTTCCCAATCTGCATCCAGCAACGCATGCCCCATATCATCATTTGCTGAATTCTCTATTTTTCTACGTTTTTCACTAGTATTTGAAGGTGTAAACGAAGATGGTGCCAGAGAATCCGTATGTTCAAGTGGAGAATAAAGGGTTTCGAGTTCTTCCGTTATAGATTGCTGGCTATCGTAAGTATCATCAGTTTCATTTTCATCATCACAAGTATTTTCATTTTCCTTTTTGGGAATAGTGGTTTTCGACAATCCCAAATTAAATTGATCCTTTAAAAATAAAAGACTTTGGAAATATTTCCATTCGCCCAATTGAGGATCACCAAATGTTGATGTTGGCATTGATGCTAAGGTGATTCTAAATTTATCACGTAAACCTTTCCATTTATTTCTAGCGTTTAGTCCTGAAAAAGAAATCGAAATGTACATGTTATATTTTAACGTTATTCGTTATTTATGATTATTTGTAGTTTGGGGTGCTAAAAAACCTTTATATCACCCACCAACAGTGTTAGGCGTGTTAGGAATTTTTACGTGTGTGTTATATACTACGAGTTTTCCAACAGATATACCAACATTGTGGAACTGATCGAATCGAATAGTCCATAAACATCGTAGTGCCCAGGATACAAAAAAATTCAGAGGTATGATACTTAATCGACGAAATCTCATCAAATTCGCGCAAGACGTATTGTGGTGTTGAATATGGTTTTCTGATTGGCCAAGAGCTGATTAAAATTTATTTTCGCGCGCTGTTTTCGATCAGCTGATACGTCAAATTCGTAAAAGCCACGCCTTCAACCACATTACGTCACCGTGACGTGTAGTATCAATCAGCGTTATATCATATCTTCTTTTTATAGTATGATGGCATAGCCGGCTCGACAAACATGATGTAATTTAAATTGTTACTGTTCGTTCAGGTGAAAAAATGTGCTTATAAAAAGCGCTTGAAAAAAATATGGTTAAAAGAGCATTAATTTTCACTTAAAATGCAGCAAAAAGCGCTAATGATTGTAAATATGGTCCTAAACGTTAAACTAAATTAATTATTATGCAATGTTTAATTGCCGTATTTTTGGTACCATAATCTCAAACAAGGGCCGACAAGTTTCCGCCATATCAGTGTTTTCTGGGCAAAAACATCCATTGTCTCAAAAGTAATTTAGGTTTGACTAAAAAATGATTGATCCGAATTATATTTGCGGAATAGTCTTCATAAGTTACCCCATTCCATTTATAAGATTTCCATATTTTAGAAAAATAATAAAATACCGTATTCTTATTTAGCACTATTTCTCTCTATAATATTAATGCGCATGCTTAGCTGTCAAAATAAGGTTACCGTGATTGAGAGACTTATGGTGCGTTTGATTTGATCATCGGAGATCTCCGAGCGCTTCAAAAGTGTTTGAATTGACACTCCGAGAGATCCCTAAAGTGTTTGTTTCGCTTTGGAGCGAGAACATAGAGCGAGCTCGATGTTCTCAGAGCAGAAAGATCGAGAAGAGGGAGAAATTTGTCTTTGTCTCTACCTATCTCTTTTTAATTAACTTACAAACAAATTTGAATCTCAAAATTAAAGACCAGACAAGAATTCAACAAATTAGGCATTCCAACGACCTGTCAAACAATAGGTGCCAGTGGGAAATTTTTGTATATTTAAGGGGGGTAGCGACATAGTCTTGCAACTTGGACGCTATTTTTATTCGAAGTAGTACTTGCCAAGCCTGCCAATTTATGAAGAAATGTATAGGTGGGTTTTGTAAATATTATTTTTATTGTGTTTGACATAAAATATTTAAATATAATCCATTATTCATGATTTTACGTAAAGTAGATAGAATACACCATATGTCGCCACCCTTAGATATATCAAACCTGCCCACTGGTAATTCATTTGTTTGGAATGCCTAATTACTTAGCCGCTTTTGTCTTATAGCTAAAATTATTCTTCATAAAAAAACACAAAATGTGTGTTTGGAAAATACATTTTTTCTGTCCAGATCTAATCACCAGTAACCATAGTCATGGAGTATGAGAGCGAAGCGGGCATTTGTGGTAAATGCTGCATTTCAGGGCCATTACCCCTTATTATTAAAAGTTTTTCCATTTTCTTTACTTTTTGCTCACTAATTTAACATACAAACCAGAAACAAGAATCACAAAAAAGCGAGGTTATGTTTTTAACTCTGTTTTATTTGATTTGATTTAATGCTCTATTGTGACGTCATCACTTCTCGGTCTCCTCGACGCTCGCTCGATCGAGTTTCAAATCAAACGCCCCTTTTGGCGACAACTCTCTATTGTTGCCAGTTTTGTCCATATACGGTAGGTATAACAATTATTTTTATTATTTAATTTTGACGTAACCAAAAAATACTCGGAGTAGTAGGCTCTTTATATACAGGGTGTACCCCATTGAAAAGTAGCTCGTTTCCATTTGATAAAATTTGGTTACGGTCTTCGAGCATATATTACTAGAGCCATCGTCCAAATGAACTTTGTTTTGGTACAGATGGGAAAAATAGTGTCCAGCATTTCCATTGGTCTGTTTCGTTTTGCTTGGCATGTTAAATCGTTTGAAATTGTCAGAACTGTTAATTGATTTTTGATTTTCATTAATTTCTAGCTTATTTTTGTAGTTAATAAGCGATTTTTTTGTATTTTACTGATACATATTTTAACAATAGTGAGAGTTTGTCTAAGTTGTAAATACAAATAAGAAAAGGCATCGTCAAGGGCATTTCACAAGTAAGTTACCATTAGCGTCTCTACCATTTTTTTAAAAGAAACAGTACCTACATTTTTTGCAAAAGGCCGTTAAATATGAATTTAAAATAAATGGTAAATTTAGTGAATTAAATTTAAAGAACTTGAGGAATATTGTTTTTGATTTTGATTTGAAGTTAAAAAAAAAATAATCATAATTTTTCAATATAAACAAGCTTTTTGTTTTAAAGTCATTTTATCATGATAATGTTAAAGATGTTAAATCAATCATTTTTGTTATTTGTAGGTTTCCAGCTAATCCTGCCGAAAAAACGCATTTGGTGAAACATATTAAAACTTACTCCAGAAAACATTTCAAATAGTGATGCTTTATGTTCCAATCATTTTTCTAGATTAGAAGAACTAGATTAATTCCAGGTGCATTGCCATCAGAGGCCCCAGAAAAAGATGAATCTTAAAGGTAAAGAACTTTTCTTGTGGGTTAATCGTTCAAAATTTTTAATTTTTCAGTTATGATCTGAACCATGAAGCCTTTGTTGCAGAAAAAGAAAATGCAGAATAAAAAAACATATAAGTAACTAAGTACTTTTTAATACAACATAAATTTTATTTTAAAAAAATTACCAATTACTACCTATATTTTTTATAAACCACAAAAATTGACAAAAATTATTTTGTATTAAATGTCCCTACGTTCTTTAATTAAGTAGACTTCTAGTCGTTAAGAAATAAGCAAAACCTAATGTGGGAATTTCAATAAAAAAAGTCATTTTAAGCTTCTTATATTTCCACTCCTAGTCATTAAGAAATATTCGAAGCTTAAGACAGTTTTCCAATAAAAATGAAGTGCAAATGTACCTAATCTTTTGAACATTGGTTACGAACAATATTTTTATAATTAATCAATTATTGGAAAAAGTTCTTGTATTGTAATTATCGTACACGTGTGTTAAGAGATATCATTATGTTTGTATATATATATTTTGAAGGTATGTATCAAATTTATTATTTATATTAATTGCAAACCCCGTAAAAATGATGCGGCACTGTAAATAGTGTCTACCTATTTCCCCTCTTAACCCAAACAAACGCTGTTGAATGCAGACTCTATGAAATATATATGCTCAAAGGTAACGGTGAATTTAAAAAAGATTTTTAAAAAACACATAGGTAATAAATAATTTCTGTGTCATTTAAGCTAAATTTATAGCAAAATAACACATATCAGCAACACCGCACGTTTCTACGATGTATTTAAAAGTTATAAGCTCTGAAAATGGGCTTTTTTTTGGGACACCCTGTATTTCGCTCAGTTTTCACATTCTCGGTTAGCGCCTAGACTGTGACTGTGGGAAGCTTCGGCACTTAATAATAAAGTTTGCCTTCTACTCGTAGTAGCATAATATTATTACTTACTTGTAGTATTCAGATTAACAGCTACTTCATCCCATAATTTATCCAGCACGTATCTATTGTGATGGTTTTTGTTTTTTCTATCCCACAAACAAGGCCTGAGAAAAACTTCACTGATTAAAAGTTCCACATCCATAGTCGACGAGAGCTGAGAAAAGTAACGATTTATTCATTCGACGCTCCTATCTTCGTTCAGTAACTGAGAAGTACTGACTGAAGCGATACTCCCTGCTCCCTCCACCGCCGATATAAACACATTTTAGTAGCGCATTCTTACGCTTCGCTAGTATCGCTGCTTCTATCGATTGTTACAGCGCCAACACAAAGAGATTGTAAGGCAATGTTGCCAACCGTAGGATAATAATTGCAGTATATACAATATGAATAATAAAATTAATAAAGCATATATAATCCAAGCTCAGTAACGTATCGTTCGAAAGGGGTCCTATTTTATAAAATGTTTTTCATTTATACAATCCAATAATATCACAATATTGTATTAATTTAGATACATATTAATTGATTCACGTGATGGAGGGAAACAAATTTATTTAGCAGTTAATATATTTTTTATTTTTTAGCATTGGTATCTTTAGCGGATTGTTTTTTGTTTTATTTTATTGATTTTATCTATTATCTATATGAATAGGTTTTGAAACTCATTAATTTATGATTTAATTATTGTCCAACATGGAAGAATATGTAGAATATCCAATTTAAATTCTAATAGAGCTTTTAAAAATATACTGAGTCATCTTTACCACTAAAGCCAGACAGCCACTGTCAGTGAAACTAAGTTAACCGTAGCGAAGAAAAATTTTCTATAAACCAGCTACCGCACTTTTAAATGGGTACACGGCTATTTAATCTAAATAGTAGTTTTTGCAACAGGAGTAAATATGGACAATCCATTCGAGTTGTACAGTATTTTTTTTTCTACAGCCCAGTTACGAAAATCTAAAAATTTTAAAAATTATTTTAGATTATTAAGACAAAATAACTAATTTTAAAATAATTTATGAATTTTACTAATTTATAATAAAAATGAACATAAAAAAAAGATTTAATTTAATTAGTACCTAGCCCAGATTCGAACCCGGGTTTTTCGCGTGGAAGACAAGCGCTCTGTCGTCAGCTCCACGGTCATTTTAAGGTTGTTTTCATACTCGTAATTAAATTAGTTTCTTATAGTTTGATTAATTTTTTTTTTATTTGGATCAAATGAAAGTAATAGTAGTTGGGTTTCCAAAATATGAACTGTGATTGGTGGATTTTATTTTTTTGCAGTGTACTCACTACCTAGAATGGATATGAAATATATTCGTTCAGTTGAATGCAATAGCATAGGAAATGAATCGAAAGTATTTAAAGTGTGTAGGTAGAGCTTTTATTAATAAAACTCAGTAATATTAGTCTGAGCGCTTTCAGCCTGTTAGGCCATCATCAGAGAAATCGTCAATAAATGTACAAGAAGCATGAAAATTAATATATAACTAGATTAAAAAGGGGCTGCCACAATACGGTCCCTGTTCTCCACCATAACTTGAGGCTTGAGTCGTAAGAAATAACAGAACCACTCCTAAAAGGTGCAGTGCGACCATTCTCCGTATAGTAAAAAAAATCGAAGTATGTGAAATGTAAATTGAATGATAGATGACAGTTCGTTTCTTTGTTGCCATCCTTAATCTGTGACGTTTGCACTAAACATGCGTATACCGATCAGCAGGTTAGAACGAACGATTACGTCACTAGTTGGCACTTGAGATTCAAACATCTCAGGAAAGCGGCTTTGTCGGATTGCCTGTATTTTTTCAACACTTATTTAAATAAAAAACTTAATAGTAAACAATATCTACAAAGAAAATAATTTTTTCGGATTAATATCAGATTTACTTAAACATAAATAGTAGAAGTAAAAACGTGTTGATCTAGACCTGGTTTTCCGCCATTTTAGTGAGTGCAAAAGACACGCATACTGATTCCAATTTTGTATATCAAAAATAGTTACAAATAACTTATCCTTAGGTTGATATATCAATGATTCAAATGGTACTTACATTTTCAAAATTAGAATTAACGAAATTAACATTAACAGGTGAATGACATCTCTTCTTGGAACCCAAATTAAACTTTTGATGAGCATAAAATATTCGGAGTTAAATTCTCTTCTAATTTATTTAATTGTAACATAACCATGGAATAGGCATTTTGATTTGCAGGATTTCAAATTTTTTTGGTGTCGAGATTTTTGGTCACCAAGGCAACAGTTGTTGAAGAAATTGTGAACTTTTTGTAGATTTTTCGAATGAAAGGCAGAAAATTCTAATTTCTAAAAGTAAACCCAGTATCCAGTAAACATTCTTAAAATTGTCAAATCAGCAATGTGCGTTTTGCAAAAGATTGTATACGAAAGTATACGGTATAAGCACAGCTTATACAATACGGCTAAAACACTCTCTTGGCGGCAACGGTTTGCGTCGATTTCGTCGCGCATCGCTTAAGCTCCGCCTTCGGAGGGAAAAGATGGTTTTGGCGTTCAGAAGTGTACTTAGGTAAGGTGTTGAGTCGTGCGTATAATTTCGTTGATTGTATAATTTCGTGGAGCCTATAATTTCGTTGATTTTGTTTGAGTTAAAGGTACTGTTATTATTTTGGTGACTCTTTAGCTATGAGTAGAATGAGTGAAAAAAAAGACATCATTCTGTTTGTGCAGTCAAAAGCTGTTTTAATAAGGGTTGTACCTGCAAGAAAACATTCTTTAGTTTTCCCAAGGACCCAAACCGATAAGTACCACATTATAAGAAACTTTCATTGTTAAAAATATAATTTATACAGGGTATCCCATTAGTGCGTTATTGTTCATTATTTTGTTGTAGACACGCAAGAAAGTTTTAAATAAAAGTTATATGGATTTGAAAAATACCTACATATTTTAAAAATATCTTTGGATATACAGGGTGTCAGGTTTTTGCCTGGCAAATTAAAATGTATGTTTTTTAAATGGAACACCTTGTATTTTATTTTATGATAAAATTATCAACACCCTAAATTATTGTAAAGACGAATTGATACAGAAAAATTTTATCAGGTATGTGTGTGGTTACCTTTTAATAAAAGCCTTGCGGATCCACTCCTCTGCGATACCTGTCTTAAATATAACAAAGATTACGTTGAATTAGATGATTTTTCTTTTTATTGCTTTTTAAAGGCATATGATAACGCCAATCCAGATACATTTGGAAATCTGCAACTGTCAAATGATGAATTTGTAGAACTAATATTCAATATTGAAAAGATATTTCAAAATAATTTTGAAGAATTGGCTACAAAAAATAACATTTGTACCACACTTTTAGAATTAATTAACCCAATACCCTTTAGTCATCCATGCTAACGTTTTCCAAAAGAATAACTTATTTTATTGTATGTTTAATCTCAATAACTAAAAAATATACTGACAATTAGTTTGACAGAATTGTCATTTATTTAAAATTTTAAAAATAATAGCAGTCGGTTGATCAAAATATGAACGGTGATTGGCGAATTTATTTTTTTTGCAGTGTTCTCACTACCTAGAATGGATATGAAATATATTCGTTCAATTGAAGGCAATAGCATACTTTTTCGTTTTGTAATCTGTGCATGGATATTAGCCAATCTATGCACATACTACAAAACGAAAAAGTATGTTATTGCGTTCAACTACGAATATATTTCATATTCATTTTAGGTAGTGAGAACACTTTAACAAAATTAAATCTACAAATCACAGTTCATATTTTAGTCACCCAACTCCTATTATTTAAATTTTTTTAAATAAGTGACAATTCTGTTAAACTAATTGTCAATATATATTTTAGTTATTGATATTAAATATACATTAAAATTTTTGTGTAGACTCGATAAATAATAGCATTTTTGTTTTTATTGTGTCCACATTTAAAAAAAAATAAATTTTAATCAAACTACATGATACTAATTTAATTACGAGTATTAAAACTAAAGTCCTGAAAGTTTCGGTGAAGATAAAGACAGAGCATCTGCCTTCCACGCGAAAAGCCCGGGATCGAATCTAGGCCGAGGACTAATTAATTTTTCATGTTAATTTTATTTTATAAATTAGTCAACTTCGTAAATTATTTTAAAATTAGTTATTTTGTCTAAATAACCTAAAATAATTTTTTAAATTTGTAGATTTTCGTTAGTGGGTCGTAGAAAAAATATACTGACCATATCGAGTGGATTGTTCATATCACAATCAGACGATTGAGTACTCCGCATACGACGTCGTGCTCAAACTTCGTCTTTGTGTGATATTGCTATCATATCCACCCTTGTTGAACAAACTATAATTTATTTGTTTTCTTGGTTTAAACCAAAACTTAAGTTTTACATCAGAAATAGGAACTAAATTAATTTACTTTTCAAGTTTTCTTATAAAAATCGATATTACTTTCTCCAAGTACAAATTTAGTACCTACCTAAAATAAGTACTAATTATGTAATATCGTGTAATATTGTAATTCAAATTTCACATTACTATAAAGTTTCAAAATTCCCTACTTCGGTATGGTCAGATAAAAATTGAATATATTATATTAATAAAAACTGTCAAAGTATTACTTCTACAAATCTGTATTTCAATTAATAAGAATACATCTAAATATAACCAATATTGTTAAAATAAAAGCACAAATTCTTTATAATTCCAAAATACCATAGAGTTCCCAGACCTCAGTCGAAGCATTCGTTTATCTAGGTATAAACCCTTTGCGCGAAGAGTAACACTTGCCAGAGACACGGGGTACCACTTGATTTGCATCCACGAGCGTGATACAATTCTTTAACAATTGAAGCCCTTGATGTAAAAAGGATCCAAGCCACAATTTGTCGTGAAGTGACTGTTTTAACTCAAAACATTTGTTAACGAGGATTTTACTAGCCACATACAAATTATTTTACCTCTAATCCGAAAGATGTGCTATTTTTCGTAATATTTATATTTAAATAATGTTTCTAATTATATTTGACAGATTTAAAACAAATTAAAAATTTAATTTCCCAAAACTTACTTAATATGGCATGTAACCAACCTTATTGCGCCAAGGTTTTCAATTTTTTCAATAATAAAAAAATTGTTTAATCCGGGCCCGACTTTTCCCTCGAATCTAACAGAGATAGCACCATTCCGTCTTGCTTGGTTCTCGACCGCCAGATCAAAGACGCCGACACGGAGTTGTGGAGCTGTATTGTATAAGCTGTGGTATAAGTATTAACAATTACAATGTTTATATTTTCTTCTTGTTCAACAACTGTTTTCAAGTTCTTGGCTAAACTCAGTTTATGAAAGTACAAATGAGGAAAAACTAATTTTTGGTAACTTTGGTGCCCTCTATACTTTTTGGAATGAACTACAGGGTTTTGCAAATTTTGAGCTCTACATTTTTGTTTTCGAACTTCCTACCTCGAATCAATAGGAATCATGATAAATCAATTCCAAACAAATTTTTCAAAATGGCGGAGTTTCCATAGTAGGAAGGGATGCATATCGAAGGTCTCTACATATAACACAAAATAAAAGTTAAATTGTACGACAAAACAAACATGTTTATTGCATAGACACATACATAATTTAATAAACTTAATAAAGACACTGCCTTTAACACGTATATACCGAACCTTTATACCTTGATGTACTAATTACAATTCAAGGTAAAAAGATATCATCGAAAGGAATTTTCGACAACACTTGATTGGCAATTTGAGTATGAATAGTTGAAAATATTTGTTCAACCGGTGCTTTGATTTCATTGAAAATCGCTAAACTGTTTTCATTGAGTGTTTTTCCAATTTCATTTTCTATATCTTTGTTCGAAGGAAATAGGTTAGTAAATTCAAATAGTACATTATCAGGGCGCATATCCATTGTGTAGTTGATAAAGCGAATATGTGTTTTTCCCTTCTTCTGATACTTTTCGCACCACATGCTATGTCTGTTTCGAAGATTGACTAAAATAGAAAATATATTAAACATTACGAACAGAAGAAGAACGATGTAGTAAAACAAAATTAAAGGACACCTCGTATAAAATAAATGCTACGTCAGCCTTGATGACAGATCGGAGTGTAGAGTAGTGAATAAAGTACGAGAAAAAATACACGATGTTGATTGAGTAGAAGGTGATGAACTAGATGACGAGGTTAAAGCAGACGTGGAAACAGTTTATAAGTTGTGCTGCTAGATAAAAATAAAAGAAAGATGATTGACAATTTAAGAAAAATGAGGTGAATTGTCACTATGGTCTAAATAAAAGAGGAATGCAGTAAAAATGGGGATATAACGTCACGTTCCATAGGAGGTGCTATTGCCCACTTTGAGAATCACTAATCTACTCTATAGGGGAAGTAAGTATAACAATTTTTTAACAAAACATGGGTTGAATTACAGAAAACAAAGTCTGAAAAATGTAAATTTTGCGACTTACGAGATCCTGCCTTGTGTGCCCTTGATATACCATTTTATATGCCGTGACCTTATTTATATTATGGAAATTTATTTTGCAAAGTACGCCAATGGAATGTGACGTTATATCCCCATTTTTACTGTACTTCTCTTTTATTCAGACTATAGTAAATGTTCAATGTGTTTGCCTTCATGTACACATTTATTAAAAAACAGACCAATAAATTTTGAAAAGCTGTGAATAACATGTCAGGGGTTATAAAATTATTAATTGACAATTGTAAAACATAAACTGGTCATATCACCAATTTAATTTTGTAGTCATTTTCGAATAGATTGCGAAACTAAGGATGGGTTATTTAAAAATGTATTAATGTGCAGCATGTTCAATTTATAGAAAATTAGATTATGAACTTTGAAATTGCACCATTTTGGTATTTTCTAGGCGAAAGTTACAATTTACAATTACTCAAGTCTTTAGTGAAAACCGCACATGAACATCTTATTTGGTTCAGAAGATACAAGTCTACAAAATGTCGAAAAATATAGTAAGACTTCTGAGATAACTACTACAACCAGACTTAAAATATTGATGCGTCACTACAAATATTGGTCTTTATGGTCCATGGTCACCTATGCTTGAATTGAAATGACACTTACCTTGCGTTACATTGGCTTTTCCATGTGCATTTAAAGCAAATAATAAAAGTTTTCCGTCCATTGTATATTCTCCATCTAGTATTATAAAAGGAGAAACAGCATCCATTACCCAACTACAGCCCTTGTCAAAGTCTATCCTAAAAAATATTAATAATGATTTTGAAATGATTAGAAACTAAAAATAAAGAAATGAAAATTTTATTTATTGGAACAAATTAACTATACTAATAATATTTTCACTCTATAGATACTCTATAGGAATTTATTCTTAAACTCACTCCATGTGATCTATATCAGTTACAGTCATGCCAGATACGTGCAAATTAGTAAATGTAAGGTGTATAGCCACCGATGAATCAGGTGATGGTGGTTTGATCTCCAATTTTTCAATGAAATATGGATTCAGTGTAGGAATTCCCATTTCTTTGTATCCTAAAACCAAGTTTATTTCCTTTATAATTAGATACACCTGTCCATACAAAAATAAAAACAAAACAAAAATAAAAAAAATGGATACAAATATCAAAAAATAAAAATTACATAAATTTTACATATTTAAAATTATTATATTTATATAGAGTATTACACTCTAAATAATATTGGATTTTTGTCTAGTTTACATTTAATGTGACTAGCATTAACGATTTTTGAATTTTCATTTCGATTTTGTCTATATTTTTTATTTTGTAAAATATACACAGGTTTCTCCAATATCTTTCACTTTATTATCGAATAACAAAAGATTATCGAGGAAATCGTATACTTATTATTGTCATGAGAATTCCTGAGCCGACTCTGTGTAGAGCGCGACCTTGAAGTCTTCCACCCGACTTATTGTCGAAACCGGAATCTTCTAGGTATGCCGCTGACGCATAGAGAAACCACTTCGCGAACTATTCGAGATTCTTACAGCAGGATTGGTTTTCCTATGCGTCAGTAGCATACCTAGATAATTCCGGTTTCGACCATGAGTCGGGTGGCAGAATTCAAGGTCGCCCTCTACACAGAGTCGGCTCAGGCATTCTTATGACAAAATATTGGCTCAAGGTTTGCTTATATTACATTCTTTCATTTCTTACTATTCTTGATCTTTTTCTTCCTCAATTGTTTAATACTCTTTTTGCTTTAATCCCTTTATCTCTTCACCAGAATATATAAACACTTACCGGGTGCAAATGCTCCTAAACCGCCTCTCATATTTTTTCCAACACATTCTGCAAAATCCTTTTGGGATCTGTGACAAAGTTTGATACCATCAGCTGAAAATATGTATAATAAAATTAGGAAATCTTTGGGCAAAAAACAAAAATTGAGGAAGGTTAGGAAAACTGCATAGTGTTAATCGTTGTACACGAAGAGAGTGAAAATAAGTGTTCTACAGGATGATTCAAAAACATGTGCCACCTCTGGTGGGGTGATTTCTTACTCAAAAATAAGACAAATAGTTACTTTCAACGTGGCTGTTTATTTTTTATGGTTTTTCAAAATAGATCCGAAGCGTTTTTAACAATCTGAATGAAACTTTCACTTATATCACAATATTACAATAGCACAAGAGCTTAAATTATTTCCAGGAATAATTTAAGTTTGCTTGGTATTCGGTAAGAAAATTTCACACCATTTCACACCATAAAACCACACAAGGTGGTTCTTAGAAACTGTTGAATAGTAAATGGTCTATTACAAATTTCGACAATCCACAAATGTGTCCGGTTCGTTTATTTAAGAAGTTGATGGAGAAAAGGGAAATATAATTCAGACCGACAGATTATTCTTAACACCAAACCCATACTCAATTCGAAAGGATGGTACACGAATAGCCCAGTTGGTAAGAACATTGTATCTTCATGGTTTAAATCAGCAGCCTCTGATATAGAAATCGATACTTAAAAAGTTAAAATAACCAATCATTCTGCAAGAGCAACAACTGTTTCAAACTTGGGCAAGGAAGGAGTTGGTGAACAACAGCTCTTTAAAATTACTGGACACAGTAATAGTCAGTCAATCAAACCTTACTTACAATTGGACATTGAACATCATAATCAGATGATTGAATCTATGAGGAGAATTTCATCAAGTACTAGCAAGTTTAATCATGATCAGAGCTTAATGCAAAATAAAACAGAAAGTAGGTAACCAGATTCAAAACACCAATTCAAGCCAGCCCATAAACATAATAATTGTGTTTTTAATATTAATAAAACCTATAATAATTAAATGTATTTCGTTATTATTTTGCTTATTAGTCGATATCATTTGAGATTTGTCAATGATGCTTTTGGTAATTTTAAGTCACTAAAAATGGTAAAAATGTATTTTTTCTACACCCACAAGGGTATTATCTTATCTACGCACAGATTACATAACGAAAAAGTATGCTATTTCCTTCAACTGAACTAATATATTTCATATCCATTCTAGGTAGTGAGAACACTGCAAAAAAATTAAATCCGTCAATCACCGTTCATATTTTAATCAACCGACTGCTATTATTTTTAAAATTTTAATTAAGTGACAATTCTGTCTAATTGTCAGTATATTTTTTAGTTATTGAGATTAAACATGCATTAAAATGAGTTATTCTTGTGTAGAAGCAATAAATAATAGTATTTATTTTTTTATTTCGTCTATAATTATAAAGCAACAAAAATAAAAGAGTAGGTGGTCTTAAGGTTAGCGTTCTTGCCTTCCACGCAGATGATTGGAGTTCGATTCTCGGATGGGGAACAGTAAAATTTACTTTTTTCTTTGTTTTTTTCGTTTATTTTATTTTAAAGAATATTAAAAGTCATAAATTATTTTAAAATTAGTTATTTTGTCTTAATAACCTGAAATATTTTTTTATTTGTAATTTTACTATACAATTCGAGTGGATTGTCCACATCGCACTCAGACGATTGAGCACTCCGCCTACGGCGTCGTGCTCAAATTTTGTATTTATGCGATATGGCCATCATATCCACTTTTGTTCTACAAACTACTATTTTATAACATGATGCAATTTCAAAGAAATTCGTATGTAGGTATATCCACCATATTTCGTTAAATAAAAAAATTACACTAAGTGCTCAAACTCAGATGAGTATTAGTTCAGTCTATCATCCTTTCATAACTTTAGGTCACTAAATGTGGTAGAAATGTATTTTTTGTTAAAGTAATCCATAATACTTCTAATGTAAAAAATATAATATTAACATGGTTTGTTGCAGTAGGTGGCCGTAATAAAATAGGCGGCCATGCTTTTGACAGATGAGGATTATATTGGTAAACTACATTGAGTTACTGTATAGTAAACCAGCAGATAAAGATATTCTTATGTAAAACATTTCTTGTAAGCATTTGCGTTAAACAATTTAAGAAATAATGCAATGCTTTGAAAAGTACAATTTATGTAAATACTGCAAATATGTCATCCAAAATTAATATATTTAATGAATTTAATGGAAGATTGTTACTGAAGTAGTATTGTAATCATTCCGAACTGCATGGTTCTGAAAAAAGTTGTGAAAAGCACAGATGTTGGAGATAGTATTAATCGCAGCAGTTTCATCAGCTCTAGTTCCAGATCCCGAAGAAGAGGTAGCAGTTAAGCATAGATTATTTGAGATTCATATGGCCTTAGGTAAATTGAATTCGCCCAAAATGCAAAATTGTACATGAGGATACGTTTCTGACAAATTATTTAAGTTTTCAGTGAATGAAACATATTTATCATTTGGTAACATTGGAGGAAAGTAAGCAGCTCCTAAAATAAGAGTACCTTTACTATTGCCTATGAGAACAAATAACTGTTTAATTTCTAGCGAAGAGTTGAGCAAAGTACTGTGTACAGATTTGGAAACCGCTATAAGAACTCCAACTCCTTTGGAAGATGAGATCTTACCTTGCGGTAAATATTGAAATTTTCAAATCCAAGTTCGGCATCACTAAAGTTTTCTATCAGCCAAGTTTCTTTGAAAACATTGATTTCGTGGGATACAGTTGCTACATCAGAAATAAGTTTTCTTAGCTTTGTTTTTAATCCTCTAACGTTTTGGTAGTAAATGGAACTAGGAGAGAACTTACCAGAAGATGGGCTCTGATTGATTAGATTTTTGGATTCACACTAATTTTGGACATCCATTTATAAATTTGATGATAAGATTATTTTCTCCCTTTTCACGTTGTTTGTATAGTTCTTCTTTGACATGTTTTCTGATTCCATTTGTTTACGTGTCAGATCAAAATTGAGAAAGATGTGCTTTCCTTTAAGTTTATAACGATTTTTAATAACATTGTGCACATCATAAGTAGAAATAAAAGTTATTTTAAGAGCACTTGTCCCTTTAGAATTATGTTTTCTTAATCGCTGTAGTCCTACAATTGATGGAGGTGAGTTAATTAAACCCCGCAAAATTTCGATTACCTTGGACTTGTCATCATTACTTTCAGGTAAGTTAAACACCATCAGATCCTTTTATGAATTTTTATTTTGAGAAAAGCCTCTTTCTGACAAACAAGTGTAATATGCTATATTAATGATGATATTAAGGTGAACTGTCATTGGAACACACAGATGGCACAATAGCACATGCAGTCTCTATAGATGAATCCGAATATCGCTAAAGTTTCCTATAGACCAGAGTTACTCAAAGTGTGGTCGGGGCTCCGCAAAGCCTTTGTGAGGGCTCTGCGAAGAAAATAACAAAAATAAAGCAGTACCTATCGCTACAAGGAGACTTGGCTTGAGGACCTTTTAATTTTTTTGTTTTTTTTTTTAGAAGGAGTATAAGATTTTGGTTGTTTGGGTCGGATGACCTTTTTTTAGAAGCCAGGAAGAGGAAGGAGTATATTATGATGATTTTGGTATTTTGGGTTGAAGGACCTTTTTTTTAGAGGCCAGAGAAAGGATGATATGTGGACCTTAGTGGTTGATGACCTCTTATGGGAGTTAGAGAAAGAAAACTTATACACGCAAGCATTTGCAGACGACATAAGCATCGTAGTAAACGGTAAATTTGGGTCTGTTGTATCCGAAAGGATGCAGCAGGCTCTAAATAACGTCGAAAGATGGTACCTAAAAGAGGGATTGTCCACAAACCGACAAAAACCTGTGTTGTTGCATTCACAAGAAAAAGGAACCTTCAAGGAATGAAGGAGCTTTATATGTGGGGCCAACATCTAAAAATGGAAAAAGAGGTTCAATATCTTGGAATCACTCTTGATGACAAGCTTAGCTTCTGCAGCCATATAGAAAAAACAACAGAAAAGCTGTAAGAATACTATGAATAGAATAGAATAGAATAATTTTATTAACTATTTTACATAAGTCATTATGTTTATAGCAAGTCATAGGTGGTAACAGAATTTGAACAATATAAATAAAACAAATAAAACAATAATTATTAAGTACTTATTAAGGTTAAAATTGTGATGAGGCAGAGTGACAGTGATATGTATCATACAGACCGAAAATGAGCTACATAATCATTGACAGAGTAAAAACAATGTCTCAATAGATATTTTTTTAATGTTTTTTTAAAAGCATTATTACTTAAATTTTTAAAGTTCTGCGGTAATATGTTAAATAAGTTATAATTTAGGGAATTTATTTCAGATAGACATAACCTAAAACGAGTATTTCTAATACAATGTGAATTACGTGTCTTGTAATTATGAATATCGGACTGTTTCAGCAAAACAGACTGTTTTCTATGAATTTCAACAAGTGTATGATGTAGATATAAAGTAGGTAGTGGCATAATTTTAATTTTAATAAAATGTTGTTGACAATGTTCTCTGAATCCAATGTTAGCCATAATTCTGAAAGCTTTTTTTGCATCCGGAAGATTTGAATAGATTGAGAAGAGTTTCCCCAAAGTGGTACACCATAGCTGACATGAGAGGGAAAGAGAAAGAAATACGTAGTTTTGAGGGTATTTAAGTTGGTAAGTTTTTTCAACAGCCGAAGAATAAACAAAGAACTAGAAAGTTTTTTCAGTAAACTGATTAATGTGGGCCGACCAATTGAGTTTGTTATCCAATGTAATACCAAGTAATTTTACGTTTTGTGTTTCACATTTTGAGATAATTTGATTATTGGCAGATAGCTGCATATTTTGAGTTTTTTCACTGTTAAGTTTTAATTTGTTGGTTTAAAACTATGTGTTTGCTTCGTCCGCAATTTCATCAAACGAAGAAATTAAATTTTTATTATTTTTGTCTGTTAAGATTAGTGTTGTATCATCAGCAAATAAAACTGATTTATTAGGTAGCATAAAACGGCTTAGATCGTTAACATAACAATGAATAAAAGGGGGCCCAGGATAGAACCTTGTGGAACCCCTTGCCTTACAGCCTGAGAGTCAGACAGAACACCATTACTCATCACAGCTTGTTGTCTGTTACTGATATATGAATTTATTAGTGCAAGCGGAATTCCTCCATAAAAGCTTAGCTTTTCCAGAAGAATATCATGAGAGACGCAGTCGAAGGCCTTTGACAGATCGCGCACATTACTGCTGTGTGATTTCCCTGCTCAAGTTCCTCAACTACATCATTCACAACATTGAGAACAGCCTGTATAGTAGAGCGAGAGCGTCTAAAACCATATTGGTAGTTGCTGAAGAAGTTGTTTAATTCAAAATACTCACATAATTGTTTTTAATAATTTTTTCAATAACTTTACCAAATATTGAAACAATACTTATAGGACGAATTTTTTGAAAATTGGTAATACTTTAGAGTATATAAGTACTTCAGGAAATATACCCGTGGATAAAATTAAATTAATCAGTTCAGTAAACGTTTTTATTATTTAAAATTTTACTATTGAGTTCGTGAGTGTCAACACATTTAGAATTTTTTAGAGAAGTAATTGCGTCAAAAACTTCAGACTCAAGAACAGGGCGGAAGAAAAATGAGCTACAGGGCATAGGAAAATGTTTAAAACTCAGAAGTTCGGCATTCGAAACATTAGGAAGAGATCTTATGATATTTGCAGCAGTTGTATTAAAAAATATATTTATTTCATTTGGTGTTAAATTAGGAGTTACTAGATTTCTTTTTAAATTATTTCTTTCCAAATTGATTATTTGCCAACATGCCTTGGCTTTATTGTCTGCTCGAGTAATATATTCATCATAGGCCAGTTTTTTGTTGATTTCAATTTTTCATTGTACTCGCTTTTGAATTTCTTGTATGTTTTTATGTCATTTGGATCTTTTGTAACGTCTGTTATTAGTTTGATGGTTAAGATATCGTTTCCTAGAGATTTTAGACTGTTGTTAAACCATATTACTGGTGAATTTCTTAAATTATTCTTACATTGTCTCAAGGGAAAATATTTCATACTTAAGTTATGGTAAGTATTGATAAAAAAAGTTGAAAAAAAAATTACATCATTACCTTTATTACAAAAAATACACCAATCTATACTACTTACATCTTTATTCTATTATCTGTAATACACCTTTTAAGACATGTTTGATTTTTATTTTTTGTTAGACTATTATTGTAACTCACAGAAATGTATTGGGCACGGTGGCCTGAAAAGGAGGGTTCAAATACACCGGAAGTAAACAATTCGTTTGCCAAATTTGTATTTATGTTGTCTATACAATTTGAAGATGAAGCTGTTACTCTAGTATCATCATGTATTGTAAGATATAAACCAAAAGACTTCAACAAACATTCAAAATTGAAAAGAATTTCAGATTGTGATTTAAAATCAATATTAAAATCACCTAATATTATTAATTTGTCATACTTTTCTAGTAATTTGTGCAATACAAGTTCAAAATTCACAAGGAAAATATCAGTAGTTCCTTTGCCAGACCTATAGACAGTTAAAATTGTAGTTTTTAAAGATGGGCCTGTAGACGGATGGTAGGGAACGTATGGATGCTTAAACCAAGTATTATGCACTGGCTCTACACTATGGTTGTAGTACCTGTTATAACTTACTCATCAGTCATATTGTGGCACAAGACTAAAAGCATAACAGCTAACAGTAAATTAGACAAGATGCAAATACTAGCCTGTCTAATAATAACAGGGGCATTTAGAACTACGCTCACAGCAGCAATGGAGCTACTGCTAGGTCTTTCTCCACTACATCTTGTGGTGGAGAAGGAGGCTATGGTGGCGGCATACAGGCTGATTACTAATGAATTTGGATGGGAACTTTCGAGAAAAGGACACCACACAATGATATTAGAGAAATTAAAACAAAATCCGGTACTAAGAATGCCATCGAATAGAAGGCCCATTATTCCCGACTTTAAGAAACCTTTCGATATTCAAACACCAGAAAGGACCAAAAGCCGGGAAAATAGGGAAAATAAAACGAATCAATCTGGTATACAGACGGTTCAAAAATGAAAAACAGCACATGAGCTGGGATCTACTATGTGAACTCAGGGAGGACAATTAGTTTGAACAACAGGCTTCCAGGCTGAAGTAACAGCAATAAATGCCTGTGCCAAAGTCATGCTAAATGACTCTCTTAGATATAAGAGGATCTTTATCATAACAGACAGTCAGGTAGCCCTTAGAGCACTGAAAAGGGTAGAAGTACAATCTAAATCAATATTTGATTGCCAACAGTCCCTCCAGGCCCTGGCAGAACATAACAAGGTCACCCCTGAAGGGAGTGTTTGGAAACTAGAAAGCAGACCTCCTAGCAAGGAAGGGAGTGGAAAAACTCTTATTGGGCCAGAACCTACATGTGGTATCTCATACCAACATATTAAATGGGTATTAAAGGAACTTCTTGGATTTAGAGAGTCCAAAAGACTTATAGAAGGGCCATCCACGAGCAGACAACAACTGCTAAACCTTAGCAGATGTGAACTAAAGGCCGTAACAGGACTCCTTACAGGACACTACGGCCTTAGAAGACACCTAAATCTCTTAGGGATATCTAATGACTCCCTATGTAGAATATGGGAAGTGGAGGACGAAACTCCTATCCACATACTATGCCACTGTCGGAACCTTAAATGGGAATGGTACTTCGATGTATAATATCCGGAACCTGAAGAAATCGCCAAAGCGCCCATCAGACATATTCTTGAATTCATCAAGAAAATCAATCTGATGGGATAGAAATTGTGAGGAGTACAATAAGTCTTTAACAAACTTGCATTTAGGCTGACGACGACCTTTTTTTTGTAGAAATCTGAACCGACCATTGTAGGCCTCTTTTGGCAGCCCTCGTACAATTACGCTTTTTCAAATCTAGCCCTTTGAAAATATGAGTTGTGCAGGCCTGGTCTAGAGTAAGGAGGACTTTTTTTTTCGAAATGTATTAAGGGTTCCGTCAAATATTTCACTTTTCAAAAAGGTTCCGTCACCAAAAAAGTTTGAGAACCACTGCTATAGACTATTATAGCTAATTTTTTGACATAAAAGTATATAATAAGTGTATTATGTATAAAAACCATTGATATAGAATAAAGAGATGTTTTAACGAAGCTATATTGTCCGCACCTTTGCATTACACTTTAACGTCAATGTCAAACTAGAGATAGTGTAGCTAGTCAGTTTTGTTGAAAATAAATGCCATTTTTTTAAATAGCTGTATTTAAATGATGTAAAATCATTTTCATTCCGTCAGTCTTCAAATATAAAATTATTGACTGAAAGTACGACTCAAGTCGCCAGTTTCATAACACTTTTCAATCAGTTGAAGTGCGTCCATGCATCATATCGCAAAATAGTGTTTATATCTACTTTATTCTATTTCGATGGTTTAAACCATGCAAAAACTACCTAGATATATACTATAAAGTTATGGTATTGCATGCAAATATAATAATTATTGTAATTTAATAAATATAAAAAATATTCTTACGTAATTTGTACCCCAATGAAATTGAAATATAAACTAAAAAATAAAAGTACTTCATTTCGAAAACATCCGATCTTTCTTTACTTATACATAGAAAATTTGTTTTCAATTAAAATAAAAATATTAAGACGTAAATTTATGTTAATGTTTTATTCTTGTTAATCAATCGGAACAACTTATTACAAGAAATTACACTTAAAAATTACTAGCATATCTATTATCGAAAATAATATTTTTGTCTTTATCGTTTGTTTTCGAAGGTAATACAACGTAACAAAGTAAGAACATTATTTGTTGTGTAAAAGAGTAGTAATTTTTATGAATTAGGTATATGAGTTGTATTTGTAAACAAAAATATTTCCATTAATTTATAAATTATTTTCATTAAATCTATTATTCACAACGGATGGAAACATTTTTACTTTACTTTATATAAATTATATAAATATATGTTATATATATTATATAACAATTTGTTGTAAACAAATGCAATTTTACGCAATATTTTTTTTTATACTAAAAAATATTACAAAAACAACCATATATATATTTTTTTTATTTTTTATTTAACTTTAAAAAATATTGTACTAAATAATTTTTTAATGCCTCTGATTGTTAATAAAATAGTGAAAAATCAAAATTTTTGAATTTTTCCAACGGGGATCTCTTCTAAACCCTTTTAACAATAGCTCAAAAAAATCAAAAAAATTCTTGATTTCTTGTTTCGACATAATCAGCGTTTTTATGTTAACATTAAAATGGTGAAAATTAACTAATTAACAAAAGCATAATTAATAAAAAAAATAGTGATAAAAATTTTTTGTTTACGGATTGTTTATTCATATGTCTACTTAGTACCCAAATTTTTTTATTTCTTAATATTAATATTTAATCAGTTAAAATAATTTTTTTAGTTCATGTGTCAGATTGGGGCAATGCGCGCGGCAGCCGAACCACGCGTTTTTACCGTTATTTTCGCCGCTTAATTAAAATTATAAGGGTTGTTGGTACAGTTCCGGGAGGTAGAACTTTTTTTTAGGAAATTTCCTGCTCTTTAAGGATCTTTTTTCAAATTTCGATTATCTCAAATAGTTTTTGAAATATTTCAAAAAAACCAAACCCTTATTTTTTATTTTACTTTATTGTTTATAACTTTTGCATTTTTTTTCAGTCTTCTTGGAATTTTGACAGAATGTTCTAGATGCCATTCCGAATCGAATGAGTCCAAAATCATAATTTTCGGTGCTGGAGGACAGGTTTCGAGGGAAATGGCACTTGTGAACCAGACTATCTTACTATAACCAATACAATATATGACAACCGCCTATATTCAAATAGCAGTCCTCTGCGCATCCTGAATTTGTATACCTAGAGTTGATGTTATTTTGGAACATCCAATTGGTCCGAGTGAGCTAACTGATTTTTTAGCTATAAACTATGGCTTGGGATATGAGTATTGTTGAAAACTTATCATCACTTCGCTTTAACTATGAAAAATGCATGGTTTTTATTGGTCCGTTTTATAATAAGTTGTATAATCACTAATATTTAATAAAACATCAACAGATGAGCCTAATTATTTTTCAATTTCACTGTTCTTACAATACATACAGAGGCGGGTTAATAAATGTAAACATTTGGCAGTTAAATTTAATTTTTCTGGATTTATCGGTACACGTCACGAGACATAGAAGGCTAAATTTTTTAAATTATATAGTTTCCTACGGACTATTAAAAAAATTATACTGTTACAGCTCATTCGTTTTAATAACATGCTAGGTAACATACTAGGTTACCAGTATTGTAGCACTAGATATTTGCAATACTTTCGATCCGGATGGTTCTTCCAAATAAACCACTCTACAACTCTTTTTGGTTCTACATGACAGTATACTGGATGCAGTTTCATATTATGATAAATTTTTCATTCTTTAAAACATTTTAGATGAATGATAATAATTCAATTCCACTCCACTCCGTGCCTTGCACTTTAGAAGGGATAAGCATGAGGAATAAGTAAGTATGTTTAAGTACTAAAGATTGATCAAAAAACATAAAAGCAAATTAATTAAAAACGGTATTCAGTTAACATAAAAACCTGGAATTAATAGAAAAAATGAAGTATTGTATCAGATAAGTGATAACAGTTAAATAGAAATAGAAAGACAAATTGAATAGAAAGATAAAAAATATACTTACGCAATTTATAACTACATGCAATCGAAACACAAAGTATTAAATGAATATATTTCATTTTGAAAATTTGAATTATTAGTTTCTTTCAAACAAAATAATATTTTAATTAATGAAAAATTTTCAACGTTAGCTCGCAATTTATATATATATACATATCAATTAAAGTTAGGCGTCTTATTACCTAAATTACTAAACGATAAATTACATGTTTCATACATAAGATTTATAGATATGAATAGACACAAGTAATTTATAATTAGTAGATAAATAGGATGCAAAATTAATATCCATAAGAAATCATGTAAACAATGCCAATTAGTTGGTTTGTACGTTAGTCACCTGTTGAACCTGTTGAACTTGTTGAATTCGACATGCTATTAAAAATATCTATGATTTAAAACGAACAAGAATGGAAATAAAAGTTTGTGCAACAAGAGGGACCATATTGGACAATCCACTCAAATTATACATTATATTTTTTCCACGACCCAGTAAATTTAGTAGCTATTACAATAAAATACGTAAGTCGAGCGATTCTTGATGATTTTTCTCTTTTTATGGACTTATTCAGATAAGAATGTGTGTTATCCCTTCTAAATACTTTTGTACTAATTCTATGTAAAAATAATATCTTTTAAAATACTGGGCGGTATTTTCTAAGAGGAAATCGAGCGATTTCATTGAGGCGAAATACTCATTTAACCTTGTCTTAACCCTACTGTTTGAATTAATTGAATAGACCTTCGCTATTCTTGTATGAATATAGATCATTAGGAAGTCGAGCGATTCTTGATGATTTTTCTCTTTTTATGGACTTATTCAGATGAGAATGTGTGTTATTCCTTTAAATACTTTTGTACTAATTTGATGTAAAAATAATATCTTTTAAAATACCGGGCGGTATTTTCTAAGAGCAAATCGCGCAATTTCATTGAGGCGAAATATTTATTTAACCTTGTCTTAATCCTACTGTTTGAATTAACAGAATATACGTTCGCTATTCTTGTATAAAAATAGATCATTAGGCAGTCAAGAGATTCTTGATGATTTTTCTGTTTCTATGAATTTATATAGGGACGAATGTGTTATCCTTTCTGCATAAAAAATTATTAGTTTTCTTTGACTAATAAATATTTTTAAAATAATAAAAAAATACATGCGATTTTTTGTGTGTTATATAAAAATTATATGCAGTGGGATCTTTCCTCTTAAAGTTCTGAGCGGTACTTAAAAGCAATCGAGCGATTTGCGATTTTATTAAGAAGTAAAAATATTGTCTTTATTGGTCCTACTGTTTGAGGTAATAAGCAGAATATAAACGTAGAGAAAATATCATTAGAAAGTCGAGCGATTCTTGATGATTCTTCTGGTTTCCTGGGTTTCAATGTAAATTATTATAAAAATAGAAAATACAACCAGATTGCAATGTTACTCTTTATGAAGAAATCGTTGTTCGTTAGAATTAATTTGTCAAATGGTATAGCCAGGGAATCAGCAAAAGAACTTTTCAATAATTACAAAATTCCGGCTAACGGTAAAACTCTAGAACGAAATTTAAGCCTGCTTGCCAAAACCAGCGCAGAAACACGACCGATTTATCACAAAATTTAGGCATAGGTCTGTCAATTATTTAGCGATGTTCATCATGCCATGTCGGCTCATGTCTCTCATTTAAAATTAGAGGAATTTTGAGAACATTGTAACATCACGCTATAAATAGGTGCATTTTAGGTTTATTACAGGCTTATTCAAAACAATCGAACCATGTGTGAAAAGCCCAATAAATTTAATTAAAAATTATAACAGTGTACAATGGAAGAATGAAGGATAAGAAGAAAGAGAGGGGGCCGTCAGACCGTTACCACAAGCTAAAGAAAGAGATTAAGATATACTATTATCAGAAATCATTTCCAAGGCGACGATCGGTTCTTGTCCGATCACCATAGTTAAGCCGTGTTGGGCGCGGTTAGGACTTGGATCAGTAACCTTATCAACACAGTATCAAAGAGATTAGTAGGTAAATTCGTATCTTTTTATACTGCTACAAATGACGATTTTACTCAAATAAAATCTCTCGAAATAATAAAATATATTTCGCTTCAAGGAGATTACTTTAAAAATCGTAAGAAAATTATCATTTCGAATTCATTAATACAAGAATTAAAATGTTTGCAGAAAAATGTTGGATTAGGTTAAGTTATAAAACCCAATCTGTTCTCGAGATAGGTATTTTCAGATGTTTCACAGACTGCTTGGTGTCCCTTTTGTATGTTTTTAAGTACCACAAACTGCACATTAACTTCTTAAAAATCAAGGCACTATTTTATGCTTTAAAAGCTCTTGCAAAAAAAAACAAATTTTTGCATATTACGGAGGTTGATAACCAAACAGCCATGTTTTGTATAAATCGATGTGGAATCATAAAATTAATTTTTACCATATCTCGTCAACAGCAAACACAAATACAGAGAGGAAATCAATTTTCATCATGCACTTTTCTTGGAAATTCACATTGCTTTATTAGGATTAAAAACACCAGTTTCTAGAAACTTTTTCACTATAACACTAACATTACTGATTAGAAAAAGTGGTTAGTTTTCTTTTTGTAATCACAAATCGCAACTGAATGCCTATTTTTAAAATAAATTATCTCTATAATTCCATTTGTATAGTTGTATGCTGTGCATCTGTGAGATTGTTGTTTATTATACATAGGTACCAATTATAGAAATCTTTAGTAAGTACTTGCTTGCAATTTTAGTAATATATGTACCTACCCTATATAATTAATTATTTCAAACATAAATAAAACCAACAACTATTATCTGAGTCTTTTTAGTTCCGATTGGTTTTGACAGAGTAGTTTTGATCATGGTTTTCTTCCATCTACTTTTAACCATAAAGTCATACCTAGCTGAATTTTTGGTCTTTTTAAACTTTTGACTGTAGCGGGTCATATTTTTAATGTATGTCATCTGCAGCAGGA